AAATACTCATTTAAATCAACAAATCATTGATACAACTGAAGGGACATTTGCCGCAATAATCAAAAGGGTATTATCAATAAAAGACAGTTGTAATTAAAATATCTTTCGATGTTTGTTATAATGCCTACATCTCTTACATTTTGCACATTATATATATATATATATATATATATATATATATATATATATATATATATATATATATAAAGCACTAAAAACCAACAACACTGTATATCCTAAGTGTCGGATCTACTAAGTAGATACAAGGTCACCTTCAATTTATATAAAGCACTAAAAATGACCAACGACACGAACAATAATAATTGTCAAATTTTCGGGACGACCTGTCCCTTCCTCAGGACAAAGAAAAAAGTTAAGAAGTCATAAAAACAAAGGAAATAGAGAAGCAAAAACAACTAGCACTACTACTAAACTACCAAACACTAAATATTTACAATGTTACATGTTTAATTTGGAGTTTATAAACAGTTGTGAACAAAGAAATCCAGAGCGCTATGAATTGCGTCCGGTCTATCGGGTGTACACTGGTGAAGTGTGATTTACATAATTGAACGAATTAATTATCGCTAATTAATTACGACCAACAGTAAATCGTACATTGTCTTATTCTCTCAAAATAGCGTAACTCTACATGATAAAAAGAAATTAAAGAAAGATAATATGGAAGGGCAATTTTGAAATATGAATTTGGAAATATTATAAATTTGGAAATCGGAAAAAAGAAATAAACAAAAATGTAACCTGTAAATATTTGGGTAGGTTGTTCCAGGATTGCTAAAACGAATTAACGGTAAAGTTTACACTATATAGAGAGAATGAACTTGTTTGTTACAATCCGGGATTGGGTCTAGTTCACGTTCATCCTGGTGAAGTCATTAAGTTTGTTAATACCATTAGGGCGGAATGACTTCAGCCTGTGCATCCAGAACTTTTCCTTGCCTGTCCATCTTGGATTATGGTCAATAACCACTACTGTCATGTCCTCCCACTTGTGACCTTCAAGGTTGAAATGTTCCCCAACGGGTTCATTGAGTTTTTTGGTCCTAATGGTAGAACGGTGATTATTGACTCTCCTGCGGAGATCTCCTGTTTCACCAACATACTGTTTGGAGCAAACTTTGCAACTGATGAGATAAATGCAGTTGTCTGTTTGACAGGACAAATTCCCTAGTATTTTGTAGCTGCGGCCTGTAACGGGGCTGTTAAAACTGTCTGTGTCAGAGCTGTACTTACAGAGAAGACATCTTCTGTCAGAGCAAGTTTTAAAGCCCCCGAATCGGAGACCTCACTTCTTTCCAAGGGGCTGAATTTCTGTCCCACGCCACATGAGGTCGACGAAAAACAAGTCAGAGTGGACACCCGAGCTTTCTTTCGGAGACTTCGGTTGAAGGAGCACTTTTCTAGAAAAAACTCCGAAGTTGACTCATATGACTCTTCTAAGCCACAATTGCACGACCTAGAGGAACACAAACTCTATCGGCCAAAAAGTGACTGGGAACCTGCACCGGGCAAATGCGGAGCCCTTGAGTCGTATATTGACGCCATTGAGTCAGACATAGAGAAACTCCTTTCAATGCCAGACAAGGCTCCCGACAATTTGAGTAAGGAAGAGAGATCCGCCTTACAATCATTAAAGAATCGGGATGACATTGTAATCAAGAAAGCAGACAAAGGCTCTACAGTAGTAGTACTTGATAAAGAGACGTACATGGCGGAGGCCATAGACAACTCTCAGACGAACGTTTCTATAAGAAACTGGACTCTGACCCTACTAAAGAATTCTCCACCGCCATCACCAAAACTCTTGACGAAATGTTTGAGAAAAACGAGATTGGTATCAACGTCTATGAGACACTCAACCCTATTGACTGTAGACCAGGACAATTTTATCTGCTTCCTAAGATACACAAAGAAGGTATGCCAGGTCGCCCTATAGTTAGCGCTATTGGACACTCCACGGAGAAAATTTCTGAATACATCGATTTACATCTCCGTCCACACGTAGAGAATTTGCCATCCTATCTCAAGGACACCACGGACTACATTAACAAGACGCCCTCTACTGGCCTTCCAGATCATACCCTTCTCGTGACTATGGACGTCACATCTTTGTACACCAATATTCCGCACGATGAGGGTATCGAAGCCTGTAGAGAAGTCTGGGATAGTAGATCCATACAAATTCCTTCTACCGAGTCCCTTGCCAAGCTCCTTGAACATGTTCTCAAGTAAAACAACTTCATGTTTAATGGAGAACATTACCTGCAGGTTAATGGCACTGCTATGGGTACGAAAATGGCACCATCTTATTCCAATACTTTCATGGGCAGACTGGAACGCAACTTGCTACTTCAAGCACCATTTAGGCCCCTTAGCTGGTTGCGTTTCATTGACGATATAGAGATGAAGTGGGTGGAATGTTGCGAGAGCCTCGAGGCATTCATTTCGTTTGCCAACACCTTTCATCAGTCTATCAAATTTACAGTAGACGTATCTAATTCGAAAAACATATTCCTAGATACTACATCTACCCTGACTGATGGTGAAATCGAGTTCAGTCTCCACACGAACCCACAGATTCCCATCTGTATCTTATGCCAACTAGCTGTCATCCCCCACACACATTTAAGGGTGTGCCTAAGGGTCTAGCCACCAGAATTCGGCGCATCTGTTCATCCCCTGCCTTATATCAAGAACAAAGCGGTCTCCTTAAGTCCCACTTATGCAAGAGAGGCTACAATGCCCGCACCGTACAAACTGCTATTGATGAGATGGCGGGACATGACAGGCAAAACCTATTACGCTACAAGGAAAAAGACAATAGCGGCAGGGTCCCTCTGGTAACCACATACCATCCCGTCCTTAAGAATCTCAGCGGTATCCTTCAAAAGAATCTGCCAATTCTCCACTCAAATAAACGAATGGCAGAGGTCTTTAAGGAGCCCCCATTGGCTGCATACAGGAACCTAAAGGACATGGTAGTAGGAACCAGATTGGACAATCCATTACCTAACGGGGGCTTTAATACTTGCTCTGACAGAAGATGTCTTCTCTGTAAGTACAGCTCTGACACAGACAGTTTTAACAGCCCCGTTACAGGCCGCAGCTACAAAATACTAGGGAATTTGTCCTGTCAAACAGACAACTGCATTTATCTCATCAGTTGCAAAGTTTGCTCCAAACAGTATGTTGGTGAAACAGGAGATCTCCGCAGGAGAGTCAATAATCACCGTTCTACCATTAGGACCAAAAAACTCAATGAACCCGTTGGGGAACATTTCAACCTTGAAGGTCACAAATGGGAGGACATGACAGTAGTGGTTATTAACCATAATCCAAGATGGACAGACGCGCAGAGAAAAGGCAAGGAAAAGTTCTGGATGCACAGGCTGAAGTCATTCCGCCCTAATGGTATTAACAAACTTAATGACTTCACCAGGATGAACGTGAACTAGACCCAATCCCGGATTGTAACAAACAAGTTCATTCTCTCTATATAGTGTAAACTTTACCGTTAATTCGTTTTAGCAATCCTGGAACAACCTACCCAAATATTTACAGGTTACATTTTTGTTTATTTCTTTTTTCCGATTTCCAAATTTATAATATTTCCAAATTCATATTTCAAAATTGCCCTTCCATATTATCTTTCTTTAATTTCTTTTTATCATGTAGAGTTACGCTATTTTGAGAGAATAAGACAATGTACGATTTACTGTTGGTCGTAATTAATTAGCGATAATTAATTCGTTCAATTATGTAAATCACACTTCACCAGTGTACACCCGATAGACCGGACGCAATTCATAGCGCTCTGGATTTCTTTGTTCACAACTGTTTATAAACTCCAAATTAAACATGTAACATTGTAAATATTTAGTGTTTGGTAGTTTAGTAGTAGTGCTAGTTGTTTTTCCTTTGTTTTTATGACTTCTTAACTTTTTTCTTTGTCCTGAGGAAGGGACAGGTCGTCCCGAAAATTTGACAATTATTATTGTTCGTGTCGTTGGTCATTTTTAGTGCTTTATATATATATATATATTAGGGATGTCAAAAATATTTATTATCCTTAGTCGATTATTCGATTGCGTTATTCGAACGATAGTCGAATATTCGGAATATTTTCTTAAAATAAAATTTTATTTCAAACTTCACTGGAACAGGACGTATTTATAACTCAGAAACCTTTTAGTTAAATTTAAAAAGTAACATATGAAATAAATTTAGATTCCTAATTCTCCAATATGTATGATCGGTCAGTACATGCAGTCAGTTTTTATTTAGCTATATATAGTAAGCATTAAAAAAATTGCCAGGCGATATTTTTAAAGTTTATTATGAAATGAATTGGGGGAAGGGGGGATCTCACACGGTGCCCGTGAAATTGTTAAACAGTTAGATAATTGATTGCTCCGGCTATTAAAATGTCCTTAAACAGTTTATAATGTAAGCGAATTGCTTTAAAAATTATCGAATTAAGAAAGATAACAAAAGATAATTGGTACCTGGTATTAGATCAAGTTCAATTAATAAATTTACAAACAAAGCCCAGTATATGCATGGGGTGGGTAATTTATTACAAAAACAACACAGGCGGTTACTGAAAAATAATTCTAGCACATATAATTACTGTGCTTTCTATACGTACATGGAGTCAATCGTTTTTTGTTGAGGAAAATTATCGATTGTCTCTGAGGAAAGGAGTTTTCTCAATTTAGTAGTGAGAATTCCATCTCGTTATTGCATTTTTTAAATTATAATAATATTCGAATGTCGTTTCATTATTCGATCGTCGGTCCATTCGACTGATAGTCGAATAGTCGACTATTCATTGACATCCCTAATATATATATATATATATATATATATATATATATATATATATATATATATATATATATATATATATATATATATGATTGTTAGAAACATACTGATGTAGGGCTATAAATAATATATCTTTCTTATTTCCGGGAAAATCTGTTTGTTTTTAATCCATTTAATATGGAGCTTTAAGTTTTCTCTACATTTAATCAAACATTTTGTTAAGTAGCAAGGGCGGAATCAGCTAGCAGTCCGTTGTAATCGACGATATCGGAACTTTGGATGCGTCTTTTTGTTAGTCTTTCTTTCTTTGTAACATTCAACAATATTGGTCACAAAAACTATCAGTACCATTAAACAGCACAAAACCATGGCAGTGATTACGTACTTGTTAAACGGTTGACAATCCGTAGGTTTTGGGTGAAAAAGAACTAGACTCTTGTTTCTTTTCTCTAAGGGATGAGCACAGAAGTATGTTTTTCTCCATTCCTCTACTAGTTTACTAGTATACAGTTTTTGTTCTTTGACCCAAATAATGTATGGAACTAGACCACACGTGCACCGAAACGGATTTCCGGAAAGATCCAATGTTTTAACAGTGTTTGGCAAACCATGAACATCCACAATTTCTATTCTATTATATTGGAGGTGTATATTTTTGAGAATCATGCTTTTAGATATGGCATTACCCAATTCAGTAATTGTGTTATTTGTTAAGATTAAATTTTCCAACTTTGAAAATGTCTGAATAACCGTTGGCAAAAAATTCAGGCCATTGCAACTGGCATCTAAATATGTCAGGTTTTTCAGTGGTTTTAAAAAGATCTCTAAACTACTGTGTTTCCAGGCTCCGAGGTTAAGTTTTCGAATTTCAAGATGTTTTAGTCTCATCAAATTACTGAACATATACATGGTATTATTATTTTCACTGAAAGTAAATTTAAGATCGTTCATATCCAAATGTTCCAATGGCATACTCATAACAGGTACTTGATATATATTAAATGTTTCGCTTAAGCTTAAATTTTTTAAATTAGACAAATATTTGAAGCTGTTGTTGTATAAACCATCTTCAAATATGCAGTGCTTAACAATAAGATATTGCAAATTTTGAAGACAGTTGTTTGCAACAGCTATCGTTGAAACGTTTACGAAAGTATGCGACAAGTTGAGGTATGCAAGTTCAGGCAAAACACAGGAATTCCTATTATTTGTAAACAATTTCTTCCAGAAAAATCCTGTAAAAGCCAACGACAGATTCTTCAGTGGCAGAGTCAAGTTTACGTCTTGAACTTCGAGGTGTCTAAAATGGATGTTATGACTAAGGTCGAGTTCAGTTAGGTTGTGTAGTCTCTGTACATAGGTCATCGGGAATGTCGTCAGCTCGTTCGCTCTCAGTGACAGAGTTCTAAGTGTCCGGGGTAAGAACGCGTAATACTCTGAAAGTATTTGATCATTCATGGAAATGTTGTTCAGAAATAATGTTTCCAGTTTTGTATTGTTTAGGCTATTTAATGTATGTTGAATGGTTCCTCCAATATCCGGGTTCTGGCTTAAATCAAGGTACGTGAGGTTAGTAGAATTTGAAAAGAAACCTGCTTGAATAGCCTTCATATTGTTGTTAATGAATGTAATATTTTCTAAACCTTCTATGCAAGGCAAGGAGAAATCACTTATGTTTAAAGTGGGTATCGGAGAGTTCACAATCGTGCATGTTCTGGTATCATTTGTAACACCGGCATTTCTGTCACATTTTTTGTTGTAACATGCGCAACCACTGCATTTTACATGTATCATCAATACAGGAGATATCAAAAGACTGGATATCATCGATATCTGCATCATCTGTAAATACTACAAAAAAGGAAATAAATCCTGTTAGTTTTAAGATCCTTGCAAATGCATGTTTTTCTGCCGTTTACATAAACATGTACTAATAATACTGCCCTAATAACATGAATAACTAATAGTATATTAGCTTTTTTCTTTCTGTGATTTGTTCGTCCTTATTTTATTTTTAAGCCCCCCCCCCCCCCACACACACACACACACACCACCACCACCAATAAAAAAAAAGATTTTACAACTTGAAAATAGTGACTGTTGAAATCTTCAGCACAAGGAATCAATTATAAATTATTAAGTTTGTAAAAATATTGTGGACATGGTCATTTTCTGTAGGACTTTATATCTAAAATTGTTACATTAATGTGTGTGTTGCATTTTGTTAGAAGATAAGCGAACAAGGCGTGCAGAATGCCTAAAGCTTCAAATATATAAAATCAATTTGTGAATTGAACATTTAGGGTAGAGTTCTCATTATTGATATTTTTTTAAATAATGACAAACAAAACTTATCTGAAGAATAATTTTTCGTCAAAAATTATTTTATTATTAAAAACTAATGTGGTAACCTTGTGGTTCAAATCCTAGCAGTTAAAATCTTGAGTATCACTTTCTATTGAGACTAACACGCTAACAACAATGCCAGGCAACTCCTGATAAAAAGTGGCATTTAAATCATGTGTGTTACATGACCCTTGACTAAATGGACCAGGGTTGGGGTCAATTACTTTTAAATGTAATTAAATACTTTCAAATACATTGAAAATTTGTCAAATACATGCAATTACAATTACATTGATTTTTACAAATGTAATTAATTACTCTCAATTACTTTGAAGAATGTAATTAAATACATTTCAATTACTTCTGTTTCACTTTCAAAAATATTGAAGAACAAATACATGTAAATTTAAAGGTAGGGGGACTATTTAAAATAAATAATGTCAGGTACCTGTCATGTTTGTGTATTTCATCAACAATATAAGACCTAGTCCTTAGACATGTACATTTATCAATTAATTGACTGCCTTTATGAAATTTGATTAAAAGCGAGTTTTCAAGAGTTTATGAATCAACCATAAATTACTCTCAAATTATTTCAGCTACAGGTAGGCAAGCTAAACACCTTAAATTGCAAATGAGCTTTCTTAATAGTATTTAACAAATCACCTCTAACGGTCATATCTTTAATTTAAACAAAGCATGGTATAAAATTGTATAAAATTTTGGAGGGTTGTTTTGATGGCAATTTACAGCTGGGAGTTGAAGGGCAACAAGGCAGGTCTTAATGACACATAAAATTATTTTCTATTCTTTTTTGATAATCAAGCAACAAAAAATTGAAATGTTTCATGCTTATACCAATGAGAGGTCGAACAAAAATTTTGATAAACATTAAACTAGTATTAATTCTTTATGTGCATTATAATTATAAAACAAACTAATATTTTCATATACAAGCCAATATATCAAATTCATTTGTTGAGAAATAAAAGAGTTTAAGCTTTTTTTTGAAAAACAGAAGGGCTTCTTTGAATAAATTAAAATAACTATAAAATGTGACTGTGTTCGAAATATTTTCCTATTAAATACACATAATATGTATTATGTAAAGTAATTGAAATGTAATTGAAAAGTAATTGAAATTACAGGGTATTTTTATGCCCCCGGATCGAAAGATCCCGGGGGTATATTGTTTTTGTCCTGTCTGTCTGTTTGTCTGTTTGTTTGTCTGTTTGTCCGTTTGTCTGTTTGTCTGTCTGTCTGTTGTCAACTTTAACCTTGCCCATAACTTTTGATTGGTTGGAGCTATGACTTTCATATTTCACATGTGTATTCCTTGTGACAAGACCTTTCTTTGGGTACCATCATATTTGACCTTTTGACCTTGACCTTGGAGTTTGACCCACTTTTGCAAAATTTTATGAGACGTTAACCTTGGCCATAACTTCTGAACAGTTGGAGCTTAGGGTTTCAAACTTCACATGTGTATTCTTTGTGACAAGGCCTTCTTTTGGATACCAACAACTTTGACCTTTTGACCTTGACCTTGGACTTTGACCTACTTTTGAAAAACTTTAATCTTGGCCATAACTTTTGAACAGTTGGTGCTTAGGGTTTCAAACTTCACATGTGTATTCCTTGTGACAAGACCTTCCTCTGGATATCAACCACTTTGACCCTTTTGACCTTGACCTAGGAGTTTGACCTACTTTTGAAAAACTTTAACCTTGGCCATAACTTTTGAATGGTTGGAGCTAGGGCTTTCATACTTCACATATGTAATCCTTGTGACAAGACCTTCCTTTGAATACCAACGACTTTGACCTTTTGACCTTGACCTAGGAGTTTGACCTACTTTTGAAAAACTTTAACCTTGGCCATAACTTTTGAATGGTTGATGCTAGGGCTTTCATACTTCACATATGTAATCCTTGTGACAAGACCTTCCTTTGGATACCAACCACTTTGACTTTATGACCTTGACCTAGGAGTTTGACCTACTTTTGAAAAACTTTAACCTTGGCCATAACTTTTGAATGGTTGGTGCTAGGGCTTTCATACTTCACATATGTAATCTTTGTGACAAGATCTTCCTTTGGATACCAACTACTTTGACCTTGACCTTGACGTTTGACTTTTATTTAAAAAACTTTAACCTTCACCATAACTTTTGAACAGTTGTATCTAGGTCTTTCAAATTTCACAGGTGTTTTCCTCGAGACAAGATCTTTCTTTGGGTATCAACATTTTTTTTATCTTTTGGCCTGGATTTTGACTTGCATTTGAGAAACTTTAACCTTCGACATAAGCTGCCATACGGGGGCATCAGTGTTTCACAAACACATCTTGTTTTCCTTGTAATTAATTTTATTCAATTACAAGTAGTTGAAAAAATGGTCAATTACAAATTACTTCCAATTACTTTGAAAAATGTAATTATATAATTACACTGAATTACAATTACTTTTATCAATTACCCCATCCCTGAAATGGAGCAAAGCTACAAATGAGTGTTTTTTTAAGGTATAGTGGGTCTTTGCTCCATGTTTTTGTTAACTAAAACATTTATATTTTTACGCAATCTTTAAAAAAGGTGGAGCGAAAATTCACTCATATAGAAAAATTGTGTAACAATATAAGATAACGATTCTTTTTGTCCTCTTTGCAGTGTGTAAGCTATTTCAATGACATAGTTTCAATCTTTGTTAGAGTTTTGCAAATTATGGAGATTTTAGTATACTTTAATGTTAGAGAAAATATCGAAGAAAATTTTGTTATACTCGTAATTGAGGTTGACTTGTCACCTTTATACTTGTCCCGCCATAGGGAATTCGCTCGCCTTGTTCACCCATCTTCTTCCGTCACTATTATACTAAGTGACAAGGAAGTATTAGCATGACTGGAAAGAAAAAAAACCCTTTTACTCGTTATGTATAACCTTTTTAGACAAAATATTAATACTTATAAACTTAAAGGGTTTTTATAATTTACAGTAAATAGATATCGCTGTTTCAGAAAAAGATAAAGGAAATAGTATAGTTAAATATTGACGTACCATTTTCCGATGTTTGATAATCCCGTATTTTAGTTGATTGCCATTTTATTACGGAAGATGTTTATATATTTTATTTAAACTAAAGCACATAAAAAGTTCCTGGTTACATTGTTTAAACACATCTGTCACAACTTGATTAATGGAATTTTTCCCTGTATGCATTGCCCTAGAAGCATACAACCACCGAGTGCATGAGTATGTGCATTCGTGTGATATATATCACTGAGTGCATGAGTATGTGCATTCGTGTGATCCACTATATATACATACATACATACATACATACATACATATATATATATATATATATATATATATATATATATATATATATATATATATATATATATATATAACACTAAAAATGACCAACGACACGAACAATAATTATTATTGTTCGTGTCGTTGGTCATTTTTAGTGCTTTATATAAATTTCCATCCGTGACCTTGTATCTACTTAGTAGATCCGACACTTAGGATATACAGTGTTGTTGGTTTTTAGTGCTTTATATATATATATATATATATATATATATATATATATATATATATATATATATATATATATATATATATATATATATCGCGCTTCATGAAATATGCCGGCGTGAAGCGTCGTAGTTCATGTCCTCATGAATCTTCAAAAATTAAATTCATTTCTTATATTTACATTATTTTTTCCACAATTTACGCAATTCAACTGTCATTTTTAAAGCAAAACAGTTTGCACTATAGCTTTGACGTCAAGTACGGTATTCTGACGGAACAATGGAGATATTCATGCTCATCCATGGTAGTTCTTGAGAAAATGAACAGTCTTCTAATTTGCAAAGAATCTTAAGGAAAAATTTTTGGAAATGTAAATATATGATAATATTCTTCCCGTAAGGATTTGACCTCTAATAATAGAGTGATGATGATAAGTCCGGCTCGGTTAAAAACAGGAGGCGTCCTTTTTTAAAAACAGATGAAACTGTTTACTTTATATGGCTCATTACGTCTTTCAGGGTTGCAGCTGGCTCCAGGGGACACTGGCTAGTCCGGATCTGAACTCCTCCTCAATAGTTAGTAAGTGCTGCTGTCACTGTCTCTGGCAGACAATTGCAGTCTCTCGCCGATCGTGAGAGAAATTCTTGTAAACTTCCTTGGTGACACAAGGCTGTCTGTACCTATGGAAACCTCTGATTTTTGTGTCCCCAGGTGTGTAGTATTTGTCTGGATTAATGTCCACTAGGTGGTTCCTAATCTTGTAGCATAGAGCATATAGAACTATATGGTGTAATGTTCTCCTATGCTGGAGAGAGTCCCAATCTAGTTGGCTCAATAATGAGGTTATACACCCAGGAAAGGTTTCCAAGAACCGGGCTGCTCTATGCTGTATGTGTTCAAGATCCTTTGTTAAGGTGGCCTTATAAGGACTGATAACACACAATGATGAGTATCAGAAAGCCCAAGGTTCTTGTAGCTTTCCCCATGTTGGTGTAGATGTGGTTGGTCCCAATAGATCTTGGGAGATGGTAACACCAAGATACTTCACACTCTCCACCACTTCCAGCTGATGTCCACGCAAGGTGTATGATGTTTGCAGAGGCTGTCGTTTGTTGGAAATCCGAATGACTGTGCACTTTTTGGGGTGGAAACACATCTCTCTAGTTTCGGATCTGACAACATCCTCCAAGTAAGCTCCGTGTGCTCTCCTGGATTCCCTCTGTAGTTGCCCTTTGAGTGCCTTGGATCGCCTTAAATCTTTTGGGCCATTGCTACGCTTAGCACCGGGCGGAATAAAGACATTTTGCTTCCTGTTGCAAGGGTGTCTAAGCTCAAAGGACATACTATTTGATAATATATGTATATATTTGAATACAGTCATGTTTATATTTGAATTACATAGGTTTTACAAAGGATTTATAATAATACTGAAGTGTATTTCCCCTGTCTTTAGCTTTATTGTTTGTGTGAGTGGGGAAGGGTTGATACATTATTGAAACTTACAGGCATGATACAAACTACTAAAATTACGTGAAAATGTTATATTTTGCACTTCAAATGCATACATCTAACTATTAAATTATTGGATAATACAAGTGTATATATATTTGCATTACACAGATATTCTCCCTGCCTTTAGAACTGTGAATATATTTGTGTGAATGATGCAGGGGTGATACATTATTGAAAGTTGAAGGATGATATAATTCACAATACAAACGTATCTAAAATTGCTTGAAAATTTAATGTTTTTTGCATTTCAAATACATGCATCTAACTGTGAAATTAATGGCACTATCAATAGCTAAAAATATCTTACTGTGCTGCGTATTTAATTTTCCGCATGCACGTACGTGTTACAAGTTTACCAATTAATCCCCCACATCTCGAAACATCTGTTGCTAAGAGGTCTGAATTATTATCGCTTTTATTCACATTCATGCAAAATTGATCACTTCTTCCAAGCTTGCTTTGATATAATTTTCTTTTATATATATATTTTATGTATAAATCCCACGAATTTCGCTTAAAACCCCCGTTTTTTCGGTAGGCGTATTAATCTTTTTTCCATACTAAATACTACATGACCAACCCCCCCCCCTTCCCCCCTCGCGTCAGATACTACGTGTCTGTGTGGTTCTATGAAAAGAAATTTAAACACCCCCCCACACACACAGAGAGAGAGAGAGAGAGAGAGAGAGAGAGGGGGGGTAATGATTTTAACATGTTTAATGATTGTACTTCTAAAAAGGTTCCAAATTTGTACTCACTTCTTGGGTACAACTGATCTAAAGATCACATTATGTCATATGGTATATATTTATCATAATATTACACGTTGCTTCTACCTTTTCACAAAACTGTACAGATATGATTTTCTATAATACATGAATTTTAATTGATTTTTCTGCTGTAATTCAAATAGTTTTCAATGAATGGAAGATTTTTTTTATATTCCTGATTACAAGTACACGTGCATAATAAAATCAAGAGAGCCATGGGCCACAACGCTCACCTGATGAACTTTAACACTGCTGTTCTCAAGAAGATTAAGAGATTTTTTATATTCCCGTGAAGAAATAATTACCCCATTTTAATAGTCTCAACCTAGTTCTAGGGGATCTCTCATTCCACACAACATAGGGATTCTTCAACATCAATATGACTAACATAGTCCTGCAATTATGGAAAAGAAAATTCTTTTCCTATATATATATATATATATATATATATATATATATATATATATATATATATATATATATATATATGTATTATGTAATCTAGCTTTTATCCAGATGAGAACATTTCTAAAAATGTTTCTTATATAGTCCAACGCAACACTTCCCCTATTGTGGCTCCATCATATTCCTAGGGCCATGATTTGAACAATTTAGAATCAACATTATAGTTAGAGAGCTCTCACCCTACCCTGGGGACAAACATTTTAACAATTCATAATCTATATTACACATTAGTTTTATATTTTCTGGTCCAGTGGTACAAATTAAAGAAGAAGATATCTAGAGATGTTTTCTTTACATACTTTGCTACCCTTTTGTGGACCAAACCTAACACGGGGGCCATGATTTGGAAGATTAGAATCTACACTACCTCATGATGCTTTTACATAAGTTACATCTTTTCTGGTCCAGTGGTTCATTAGAGGAAATTTAAAGGATTTTCCCCATATATTTCAATATAAAACCTTGATTCCCTATTGTGGTATTCCCACCTTACCCCTGGGGGCCTTGATTTGAATAATTTAGAATCTACATGACAGGAAGCTTTCATGTAATTTTCATCTTTTCTGACCCAGTGGTTCATAAGAAGAACTTGAGATCTTGAATTTTTTTTTTATATGTATTTCAGTGTAAAGCTTTAATCACATATTGTAGTTCCATCCTACTCCCTGGGTCATGATTTGAAGAAGTTAAAATCAGGATTTATTTAGGGTTTGATATAAAGGCACAGGCACTTGTTTCTGTAATAAATTTTTTAACTCATAGTATACAGTAATAATAATATACTATGGGTTTAAAATTCATTACCGAAACAAGTGCCTGTGTATAAAGGGCCTGGGCTTATCCACTTGGAAAAGAATAGCAATATTTGTTTGAAATTGAGAAAAAAAATATTTCAGACAAAGAAGAAGGTAAAAAAAAAAGAGCATTAAGGTATAATTGGACTCCTTTTACTATCAAATTGGTCAAAGTTAACCTCATTTAAACAAGCAAAGGCCAAAATATAAAATGCCCACAGGACTTGAATGCCATGTCCAGAGTTCATTAATAATGCAACACTAAAATTTCTTTTAGTGTCTAGGAAGTTTGATGAAAATATCTTGATTCATTGATTGTATGCTGTTCGAGAATTTTTCACTCATATAGACACGTCACCATATACCGGCCGTGAAGGGCTTCAAATTTAGACCTTTACTCGGCACTCAGGGCTATTGAGCAGTGACGGTTCTTTATTGCGCCAACGCCTACCGTGACATGGGCCTCGGTTTTTAAGGTCTCATCCGAAGGACCCGCAACTTTCACTTCAAAGTGCCGAGAGCTTGGCGAAGGAACAGCTGCTACCTATATTTTATCGACTTCGGTCAATCGCGGCCGCTATTCGAACACACGGCCTTCCGATCACGGAGCGAGCGCTTTCAGAAAATGTTGATGCACTTGAATAGATCTCATCAATATGTATCGATCAGCATAAGAAGTTTGATAAAAATATCTTGAATATAGTTTCTTTGAAATAAGCTAAACTCAAAGTGTGATGGAAAGACAAGACAGAAGAATGGAAGATGGACATGATAAATACTATTATTAGGTTTACTTATCTATTATAAGGCAAAATTTAGAATCAGTGGGTCATTTTTTTTATATAGATTTAGAAGCATTAAGGCTATCCTGCTTCGATTTTTTTTTTTCATTGTTGAAAAAATACCTTCTTTTTGGCCTTATTTCACCCCCTAAAAATAACCATAAGCATGTACACTACCTCTGCATGCTTTCACTTTCATCTTCTCTGGTTTAGTAGTTCTTTAGATTTTTTTCCTAATGGGGTCTCATTCTGTCCAGGGAGACCATGGTTTGAACAATTTAGAATCTACTCTATACCTCAGGATGCTTAAATTCATACAAGTTTCATCTTTCTTGGTCTAGTAGTTCATGAGAAGGTTTGAATATTTTTCCTATACATTTTAATTTAAAAGCATTGATCCCCTATTTTGGCCCCAAACTACCCCCAGGGGCTATGATTTGAACAATTTAGAATCTAAACTACCTCAAACTACCTTAATCTGGCCCAGTGGTTCTTGAGATTTTTTAATAAACCCACCCTCTTTTTGCCTTTTCTTGATAATCTCCCTATGTTTGTTTGTATGTTGTTTAATGTCCCTCTCGAGAATTTTTGAATGTCATATGGAGACGCCACCACTTGCCGGTGGAGAGCTGCAAATTTTGTCCTATGCTCGGCACTTACGGCCATTGAGCAGTGATGGGGTCTTTTTCGTGCCAGCACCTACTGCGACACGGGACCTCGGTTTATACGGTCTCATCCGAAGGACTGGTCTCCACGTCCCACAGTGGGATTCGAACCCGCAACATAAGGATCAACTCCTTACTTCGCGACTCTAGAGCAGACGCTCTAACCACTGCGCCACGCGGGCGACAATAATCTCCCTATGGAAAGGGGCTTTGCCCTTTATTAGAACAATTTTGAATCTCTCCTTTACCCAAGGATGCTCTGGGCCAACTTTGATTTTAAAGCTGGTCCAGTGATGCTTCATCAGAAGTTAAGGCCAAAAAATTTAATCAATAGTTTCTCAGGCACTGCCACATCAGGTCAAAAACTGCCGCATTGATCAATTTTATCGACATATTGAAATGGGAAAAAACTCAATTTTCTATTTTTCCAAGTTGAAAAAGAAAATGAGTTATTCCCCTTTCTATCCATGCGTAAAGATGGACCAGATAAACAATATATTTCTTCCAATACGTATTTTTTGAATTAACATTAAAACAAATGTTTGGCCGAAATAACATTATTTAATGTTTTATAACTGATGTAAGAGAACAAAAAAAGGTAAAAATCAGTCGATTTCATCTTGTTAAACGACTGACATGATAAGTAAACATATTACCTGCTCTTCAAAAAGAAAAAAAACCCCAAAAAAACCTGCCTGCCGCATTGAATTTTGAAATTTTTGGCTTGAGAAACTATTAGTTAATTTTGGGGGGCCTAAAGATCTGAAAAAATTAATTTTACAGATGGACAGACAGACAGCTCAACAGATGGATGGAAGGAACCAAAAAGGAACCAAGACAACAAGAGATCAGAAATGCTCACTTGAGCTTTCAGCTCAGGTGAGCTTAAAAACAAATACAGAAACAAATGCAAACAACATTTATTTGGGTAGTATAAAATTAAAGAAAAACGGAGGTAGGAATGAAACAACAATGTTACACGCATTAAGAAGTAAAGACTAAGTTCAAAAAAAAAAAAAAGAACTCATCACATGTATTTCAAAATGACAACCAAGAGATAAATTTTAGAAAATACATGTATTCATGTAGCAAGAAACATCGACTCTCAGTAATGGACTGCAAATCCTAGTTTTTAAATTCATGCCTAAAACAAGCAAAGAAAGTTGATGGTAATGTACTGGCTTTGTTATGTGGTAACTATCCTAGATTGCATTTAAAAATGAAAATACACAAAAAATATATATACATATAATTACCAAAGATTTAAATTGTTAAATGCTTCAACCTTACCTACAATTCAGTTCTGATTCCCAAAATTATAACTGCTTTTCCTATGTTACAAATCTATTTAAAAATTAACTCAGGTTTTTAATAAGGCCAAAAAAAAATTAATCAATAGTTTCTCAGGCACTGCCACATCAGGTCAAAAACGGTCGCATTGATCAATTTTATTGACATTTTGAAAAGGGAAATAACTCAATTTTCTATTTTTCCAAGTTGATAAAAAAATTGAGTTATTTCCCTTTTCATAACAAATAATAAACGTTTTTATTAGATAAACAATATTCTTCTAGTCTATACAGTTCTTTATTAATTAACTTTTAAAGAAATGTTTAGAATAAAATAATTTAAAGTTGAGTACATTATAATTATTATATTAAGTGAACAAAAAAGTAAGAATCAGTTAATATCATCATTTTGTTGAACTACTAACATGAAAAAAAGATACCTGCTTCAAAAAAAAAAATAAAAAACAAAAAAAAAAACAAAAAAAAAAAACCTGCCTGCCGCATTGAAGTATGAAATTTTTGGCCTGAGAAACTATTAATTAATTTTTTATGGCCTAAGAGACTTGAATTATTCAAAAGATAATTAACATGTTCACAAAAGCGATATGATATTTATAAACATAACAATACGCATAACAACCACAAACATAAAATACCAATATAAAAAAAACCCATTTCTGTTCTCCACTCTTGACTAGATAGATGGCACCATAATAAATTTTGGATTTCTGTGTTCCTGATTACAGCAACAAAGTATCTCTAAAGCCTAAATCCATATACGGTAAACTAACTATTATTCACGACATCTTTTATTCGCGATTCTTCAGTTAAGATTCCATCTGCGACTACTAATTTTCGCGACTGAGGCATTATTCTACATAAATACAAAGGTGAATAATTGGTTCACAACAATAAATATGAATAACAGAAGGTCACAAAACTCACGAATATTTCTCGCTCGCGAATAGAAGTTGGTTTACAGTAATGGAGATGATATGTAGTACATGTATATGTGCAGGTGATACATGGACTGTGTTAATTATGACATGAACAAATATTGTTACACATTTTTTGATTCTATTATGAATATGAAAGTTCTATTGCATCATTAATAATGTTAATGTTTGATAAAACATTCAATACACATTATTATCTTTCCTGTACTCCAAGAAATGATTTTCTCTTAAATCTAAGCAACAGTCAATGTTTACTGATTATTTTGTCATGGTTTTTATTCTATCTGTTTTTCTTTTCTTGTTTTGTGCATGAAAAACATATGCGAAAAATTTAAATTATTTTGATTGCTCAATACTGACAACTGAAATTAAGTTGTTTGTTTAGTCAAGGGTGTGGAAATCCTAAATCTCCGTAAGGTGTATATAAATCTCAATACATGAATTCACCAGGGTTGGCAAAAAACTGGGAAATACTCATATTTCCCAGGACGGTGGGAAATACTGGTAATTACCGGGAATTACTGGTATTTCCCGGGAAATACTGGGAAATAAGAAATAGCTACTTATTTCATTCATACTGACATGTAGTATACCTTACTGGCTAAGATACCTTCCTGGTATCACTGTCCCTGATTTAAAAAGTTCTGGTTTCCAAGTAATTCATTTTATACAATCATAAAACAGCATACTCATGTTATACCAGTCATGAGTGTCATTTGTTTCATGCTTGAGTCAGATGTAGTCTATAAAGGTCCATGAAATGAACCCAAAGATCCCAGTTGGGTATGTAACTAAAGAAGGATCTAAGAAAATTCTTAAATCTAGAGTGTGGTATAAATATCAAAGCTAAGAAGAAGCCTTTCAGTTCTACTCAAGGTAATTATTTCTCAAAACAGGAGCACAAAACTGTCAAGAGCAAATTTGTTGAAACAACATGATTGATTGTAATAACTGCAGTGTTTATAGAAGGATTAAAACAATTTTTTTGTTCTTGGATTTATAATTAATAAACTTAATAATTTTACAAAACTGAAAAATAACTTGAATTGGAAAACTTCAGTTTTATACAGTCAGGGAAATGTATCAGTATGCTTATGGGTATGGGACCTGGAGTAGTGATACATTCTGAATATGCTACAGCTGTAGATTGCAATATGAGGAATATTCCATATTCTTCTTCTGTTTTTATGTTTCTTTTATTTTTGAATTTTGAATAAGATTGAATGAATTAAAAAAATAAAAAACTTTAACTTTGTATTTCCCAATATTTCCCAGTTTAGAGAAAATTTGTAGTATTTCCCAGGACGGGAAATACTGGTATTTACCACTGGTAATTCCCACCACTGGTATTTCCCGGCCAACCCTGGAATTCACACAAATATTTTAAAAACTTTAACAGCATGTACTTCAAATATTATTAGCATCAAAAAGTATTACTATTGGTTTCCTCAGACTATAAATAGTCTTGATCAGATGTGCTTTCAATGAAAGATTATTTCATTGCATAGACATAATTATGGTGCAGGTAATACATGTATATTCAGTTTTAAAAAATAAATAAATTGAAAATGTTGAATGAACACATTAAAAAATATTTATCTTGTAAACAATCTTGCAAAGTGCAGCCTTTCAATATATAAAGAGTGCACATACACATGTACAATTTATAAATTAGCTTTGTCATCATATTGATATCAATTGATACATGTAACCATTCAATACCATACAAATAATTTTTTTTATATTTTCAGAATATAAACAATTTTTGATTAACAAATCTGGCAAACTAAAAGTATAAGATAGAGTGTAGTGAAAATAATAATACTTTTGTATATAGTAAAAATTGCTGTTGCATACAACTCAACTTTTACATGTAGATATATTGACGACATATTATCAATTAAAACATTGCTGTGAGTGTTAAATGACACAAAATAATTAATTAAACAAATGAATTCATAAAAATAAAAATTGAACTATTATGGATAGTAAATAGGTAAAGCCACAGTCCTTCATGAATTGGTTTAAACAGCAATAAAAGGAATCTCATAAATTAATGTGTTCATCCAACTTTTGTAAATTTCATTTGGCTCTCTCCAGGCTTGAGAAGCAGCTTCAGTGATCCTGTTTTTGAGTACCCTAGAATAAGTTTATAACTTCCAAACCAGCAGGCTACAGCCATAAACACAGCAACAACTTTTTGGGAAGTAGTGTGGAATCTATAGACAGTAGATATAATTAGCATAAATTCCCAAAGTATAGTAAAAAGTGCTATAATTACGAAAGTTACGTTGACATAAGGGGTAAGAATTCGGTAACTCTTCCTTCCTTCAAGAAAGTCTTTCATGTTTATGTTTTTGTTTTTAGGCAGATCAGGGTCATCGAACATTTCTCCAAGTTTTTTCCAATCTTTAAATATCTTTACTTCTTCAGATATGGTAAGTAGGTTGTGTATTAGCAGAAAAACGTGACCAGATATATCAAATCCAAGCCAGGATTTTCCATTTTTGATACATGCGTCTCTTCCAACAATTCCTTTCCCTGAACAAATTCCAACCACAGATTCAATATAATTTATCATGGAAACCATTGTATACCACCAGAAAGTTCCCATGCAGAGCCTCAGTAAATGGACTTTAACCATACCCGTTCTACCCAAATTATAGACATAACTTGTCTGTGTAATGAAGGCAGTCAATATCAAAAGGGTCCATCCCCAACCTAGTTTTACAAAATATTGATTAAATATGTTATCTTTACTGGATAAGTAGGTTCTCGGAAGCTGGACCATGTCAGCCAAAACTGATCCGATGATGACGCCAGCAAAATACAGTCCAATCTTAACAGATGTATCAATGAGAAGTATTTTTCTGCAGATCGACATAACCAACACCACCATAAAATGTGCAACATTTGTAGGCGGTGGGATTTGCTTTTTCTCTTGTGTTTTCTCTGTGGGTTTCTTGGACGAACCCCTGGTTGACGCCATGTTAGTTGTTTATATTTATCATGAAGGCATGAAAGTGTAATGTGATAGTGATCGGATAAATGATATGTAAATATTTATAAAAAATATTGTGTTTTTCTTTTCTCATTTATCACAATTGTAGTATATAAGTATAATGTTCAAAATTTAAATTGAGGGAAATAGAAATTATCATAATTAATGTAGAAAAATGATTAGTTTTAATTAATAGTTATAACAATTTTCCACTTATATCCGAAATACTTATTTTGAGTTGTCATTCCTTATTAGACGCCGTTTTTTCAAGCCGCCATTACAGACGTAAATTTTACACCCTCTCTGGCCTCGGTGGTTAGTAACAGTCCATTGGTGAGTATTTTTTGTTGTTTAAATTTACTCAAATTTTTTCGGTGAGAAGATGTAGCATGTAATGCAGAACATAGTATATTGCTGACTCCATTTCAAAGTTGAGTTGATGTTCACGTACGTACACAAAGTTTCGCATTTATCTTAAATTTGTAATACGTCTGCTTTAGCTTTTGGCAATTTGATTCTTTTTATATGGATTTGGATGCACACATCGATTATTTAAAGGCCCGTTTCAATGGTCGATGAGACACTGCTTTTCTCCCTTTTTGTAGGGGAGATCAACACACACACAACACACATATACAAATATTTTTAAGGAGTTTCTGTACTGCAAACTAAAGAGTACTAGGCCTAATGTATTTAAGTGATCTGTCCTTAGAATTAAGATCTAAAATAAGAATAAATTTTGTACAGTGTATTGCACTGATCGAAAGATCCCGGGGATATATTGTTTTTGTCCTGTCTGTCTGTTTATCTGTTTGTCTGTCTGTCTGTTGTCAACTTTAACCTTGCGCATAACTTTTGATTGGTTGGAGCTATGACTTTCATATTTCACATGTGTATTCCTTGTGACAAGATCTTTCTTTGGGTACCATCATATTTGACCTTTTGACATTGACCTTGGAGTTTGACCCACTTTTGCAAAATTTTATGAGACTTTAACTTTGGCCATAACTTTTGAACAGTTGGTGCTTGGGGTTTCAAACTTCACATGTGTATTCCTTGTGACAAGACCTTCCTCTGGATGTCAACCTCTTTGACCCTTTGACCTTGACCTAGGAGTTTGACCTACTTTTGAAAAACTTTAACTTTGGCCTTAACTTTTGAACGGTTGGAGCTAGGGCTTTCATACTTCACAAATGTAATCTTTGTGACAAGACCTTTCTTTGGATACCAACCACTTTGACCTTATGACGTTGACCTAGGAGTTTGACCTACTTTTGAAAAACTGTAACCTTGGCCATTACTTTTGAATGATTGATGCTAGGGCTTTCATACTTCACATATGTAATCCTTGTGACATCACCTTCCTTTGGATACCAACCACTTTGACCCTTTGACCTTGACATAGGTGTTTGACCTACTTTCGAAAAACTTTAACCTTGGCTATAACTTTTGAATGGTTGGTGGTAGGGCTTTCATACTTCACATATGTAATCTTTGTGACAAGACCTTCCTTTGGATACCAACAACTTTGACCTTGATGTTTTACCTATTTTTAAAAAACTTTAACCTTCACCATAACTTTGGGTACCAACATTTTTTATCTTTTGGCCTGGATTTTGCCTTGCATTTGAGAAACTTTAACCTTCGCCATAAGCTGCCATACGGGGGCATTAGTGATTCACAAACACATCTTGTTTTTTGTTGGGAAATGGCTGGGAGGGACCTTATCTTGCAACCTTTTGTTGAAAATGAAATAAATAAACTCAATGTTTTAATACACACTTAAATTTGTACAAAAAAATTCTATGTAAAAAATATATATTTTTCAGTGGATCTTGAAAGTACAGAAACTGGTAGGTATACCTGGTAGAAAAGATATTTTAACTGGTGGACGTCAGATATGTGGGGGCCCCCAGAAAATTAATTGGCGGCCGTCAAATAATATGTTTTTTCTTACCTCAGGCATCTACCAGCTTCTGTATGAAAGCAATTCTCTTTTGAAATCTAATTTTACCATGAATTGTATCTTTTATATTAAGAAACTCTTACTTATTTTATAACAATATTTAGTTGGAAATTGTTAAAAAAAATCAAAGAAAAAAAAAATGAAAAGTGTGTTTTGCTTATAGATAAGCTCAGAAATTTATTTTGATTAAAATTAAAGCTTAAAATCAGCAAGTCAGCTCTTTATTGATGCATAATGCAAATATTTAAAATATCTAATTTAAATTTGAAAGTGCAAATATTAAAAAAATCTATGGATTATTGAATTAATCTGTGTTTAATGTCCATCTCCCCCCCCCCCCCCCCCCCAATAAAAAATTATTTTAAAAAATAGAGATTCAATCTATTTACTTTTTGTGTTTTTATTGTTTTTAAATTTCAAAACTTGATATGTTGTTTCAGCCTTCTGTAAGAAAAATTTTGATACCAATGTTGATGTCATCTATACTGGTACATGTAAATTTAGAGCTGTGTACAACAGTGACTACTGAAAAAGCTCTACTGGTCAGACCAGAAGAGCTAGCTTATGTGATAGTAACTTGGTGTCTGTTGTCTGTCTGTAAACTATTTTCCAAAATGTTATACTCCTCCTACAGTTTTCATCTGATTTCAATATAACTTAGAACACTACTGACTAGTAGTAGACAAAGATACATAATATATTCTATATATATATATTGTTTTTTTTTTTATTTTGAAGAGCAGTATAACCATGGTTACTAAAAATAGAAATTTCTGTGAAATTCTTTCGAAACGCAACTTTTCCTACAGTTTTAGTCTAATTTCACTGTAACCTGGTACATAAACAGACTACACTAAGATACATTATTCTCTTTATTGATTTGGATTTCCTTGAAGGGTTTTGCCATTGTTACTAAAAGTAAAAATTTCTCTCCTACAGTTTCAGTCCAATTTCAGTGTAACTTGTTACACAAGTAGATTTCACTAAAATACATAATTCTATATATCAGTTTTTGATTTTGATGTATGGTGTTAATGTTGCCATGGTTATAAAAATACATATTTCTGTGAATATGCTTCTCCTCCAACAGTTTTATCTGATTTCAGTATAACCTGGTACACATGCTACACTAAGATACATAATTCTATATATTGGTTTTTGATTTTATTGAACAGTTTTGCCATGGTTACTAAAAATAGAAATTTCTGTAATTTTTTTTGAAAAATGCTTCTCCTCCTACAGTTTCAGTCTGATTTCAGTATAACTTTGTACACAGGTAGATTACACTAAGTTGCATAATTCTATTTATCAGTTTAATTTTGTTGAAGTGTTGCCATGGTTACTAAAAATAGAAATTTCTGTGAAATTCTTTCCAAATGCTACTCTTCTTACAATTTCAGTCCAATTTCAGTGTAACTTGGTACACAAGTAGACTACATTATGGTATATAATTCTGTTTATCAGTTTTGAATTTGTTGAAGTGTTGATATGGTTACTAAAATTAGAAGTTTCTGTGAATTTCTTTTCAAAATGCACACAATCAGGTTCTGTGCAATATTTTCCCTTCTTTATGGATTGATCATCTCTAACTATCTTAGATAGGTGACCTATTGTAAAGACTTGTCAAATAAATGCAGTGATGTACGTGTCACTTTTTCTTTTCTTTTTCCTTTCAGAAATGAAAGTTTGATGAAATATAAAAAAAACCAGTACCTTTAATCACCATGGATACATTTATCTGTGGATCATGTCAGATGACCTTCAATGACATAGAACAATTTGTTATCCACAAAAAAGATTGCAATGTTAATCTTTTGCCCCCAACAAGTCAGCCAGAAACACAGAGTGGTCAACAAGTTGAGAATGAAAATGTTGGCCATGTAGTAGTTTCAACAGCAGGTTTGTTCTGTTAAATAGAAGTTGAGAGTGAAAATGTTGGCCATGTAGTAGTTTCAACAGCAGGTTTGTTCTGTTAAATAGAAGTTGAGAATGAAAATGTTGGCCATGTAGTAGCTTCAACAGCTGGTTTGTTCTGTTAAATAGACGTTACCGTAGAATAATTGTTATTTTTTACTTCATTTTTAAATTTTATCTAATTTTATATATTTTATAAATTTATGTACATTCTGTAAAAGCATTGCTTTAATAATGCAATTTAGTCATATTATACAGCATGTTTACTAAAGTTCACAATGTAATATTCTTAGATTCCAATGCTGAGGACCAGGTGATGGCATTTCCCGAGGGAAGCCGCGTGGTCACCACAGAGGTGGTAGATTCTGTGACTGGAGAACAGCAGACCGTCATCATTATACAACCTGCCCCAGGATCTGAGATGCCAGGGTCACAAGGGGTCACTCTAGATGGTCAGACTCCAGGTAAGAGAAAACTTCTAATAATGTCTGAAATGATTTGTATGTACATTAATTAATAATACAGGTAGATTTATAAAACAAAAATATAAATGGATTAATTACTTTTCATACTGTTCCATATTTATATCAATGTCAGCCTAAAAATAAAAAAGGGACATTTTGAATGAATATATAACCTTTCATTCGTTGTCTGTCTATTATTTTCACCTAAATCGCTAGACCAATTTAAACCAAATTTACCACAAAGCATCCTTCGTTGAAAAGGGATTCAAGTTTATTTAACTAAAGGACCATGTCCTTTTTAAAGGGAGATAATCAAGGAAAGATGAAACTCATGTGAAATTTTTTCTGGCAAAGTGTAGATTCAAAATTTTTTTTTTTTTTGAATCATGGCTCCCATAGGTAGAGTTGGGATCACAATGAGGCATCAAAGATTTGCATGGAAAATATAGGAAAACAAGATGTGTTTGTGAAAACTGATGCCCTTACATCTTCGCTAGCCAAGGGCTTCTGATACGCTACTCTCCTCATAAGCCCTTGGCATACAGTGTTAAAAAAAGTTAGGATTTATTTCTCAAGTTGTGATTGGAGTTGATCGACATCGTTCGACCAATCAGCAATTGTTTTTTGTAAATAAAGACACTTGTGTTCGGGATATATCTTGACTCTTTAATATCGGTAATGTAAAACGTAGGTAAACAATGATCCATAAGATAACATGCCATTCTATGAATAGCAATATGGTGTCATCCAATTTCTAAAGCAACGTGCAAAATATGTGATTAAGAATCTATACTGAAGATGTAGATTTGCATTTTTACATGTTTAAATAACAAATTAACATAACTCAATACCTTCTTGTTAATTATTCTTTGAAAACAAAATTAAATACGCTTTTTATTTCTGTCGATGTCACAATCTGTGCGTATCTGGTAAGAATCATGATCACGTGACAAAAACAATCCCGTCTTTTGTCAGCACCATATGCAAAGGTAGCAAAGATGATGCCCTTATAGCGAAGGTTAAACTTTCTCAAACACAAATCAAATATGTTGGTACCCAAAGTAAGGTCTTGTCTCGAGGAATATACCTGTGAAGTATGAAAGCCCTAGCAGCTAGGGCTGTGTATTGAGCAAAAAATTCAATACGATACGATACAATATTTTATAATGTGATATCTGATATATTGGATTCTTTAACAAGTCTATCAAAAAAGTCTTATAAATCATTTACTGCATAAATTTCATAAAAACTAATTGTTTTATAACCCATTTCAAAAGTCTTGTCTCACTGTCTCTACAACTTACACTTCAAATTCAAACTTTTAATGACTGTAGAACAACATGTTAAAATAAAATTGTATATGTTTTTTGTAATATTTATCTAAGATGTGCTATCTCCTTAATGATTATATCATTATTGATCAATTTTAATTCAGAACAGTGAAAATATAACCTTTGGTGATTGAAATTCCCAACTTTTTCACAGAATTATGAGAAAATCTGCCTGTCCGATACGTATTGGAAGTTATTTTTTCGATACGATACATTCTTAAATATCGATACGTATCGATGTATCAATATATTGATACAGCCATTGAAAAGGTGAAAGTTTTTCAAAAGTAAGTCAAACATTAAGGTCAAAGTCAAATGGTCAAAATTAATGGTGCCCACAGACAGGCCTTCTCACAGACATACACATGTGAAATATGAAAGCCCTAGCACTAAGCATTCAAAACTTATGGCCAAGGTTAAAGTTTTTCAAAAGTAGGTCAAACTCCAAGGTCAAGGTCAAAGGGTCAAATTTATTGATATCCAAAGAAAGGTCTCGTCACAAGGATTACATATCTGAAATATGAAAGCCCTTAGGGGTAGCACCAACCATTCAAAAGTTATGGCCAAGGTTAAAGTTTAAAAGTAGGTCAAACTCCTAGGTCAAGGCAAAAGGGTCAAAGTTGTTGGTATCCAAAGGAAGGTCTTTTCACAAGGATTACACATTTGAAGTATGAAAGCCTTAGCACCAAATGTTCATAAGTTATGGCCAAGGTTAAAGTTAGGTAAAATTTTGCAAAACTGGATCAAACTCCAAGGTCAAATATGGTGGTACCCAAAGGAAGGCCTTATCACAAGGAATACACATGTGAAATATGAAAGCCATAGCTCCAACCAATCAAAAGTTATGAGCAAGGTTAAAGTTTTTGCTGACGAACAGACAGATGGATGGACAGACAGGACAAAAACTGTATGCCCCCAAATCTTCGATTATGGGGGCATAAAATCTTCATGAAATCTTCCTTTTAAGAACTAGTGCTTATTCATTAGTCATGAATATTAACATGCAAGCATATTGGGTAGTGCAGATTCAAAATTTGTTTAAATCATTTTCCCATGGATTGGATGGGTCTGCAGTAGGAGATCAAAATTTTACATGGGAATAAAATCTTCAAGAAGCTTCTTCTCAAAAACAGCAGGACCATGACTAGTCACATTTTATATTCAAGCATTTTCAGGTAGTGTAGATTCAAGTTAGTTCAAATTATGGGCTGATGGGTAGAATGAGGTTTAAGTAGAGGATGAAATTTTTAGGTTGTATATAGAAAAAAATCTTTTTTAAAATTTTCCTTTGAGTAATGGCAAAATACTCTGAAGAACAGCAGCATAACGATGATCAGGTGAGCAATGTGGCCCATGAGTCTCTTGTTTTTTAAAATCAGTTTGATGCCTTACCTGTATCTTTGATAAAGATATACATGTTACATTCGAGTTGAAAACTTTTGCTTGAAATTTGAAAATACATGCCTTGGCTTTTTTCAGATTCTAATATATGAACCTTATAATCAAATTTAAAAACAAAAATTGAATGTTTTAATATTTTTTAGGAGTATTATTTTCAGGTTCAGGAAAAAAGAGAGGTCGACCTAAAAAGGAAAAACAAACGGATTCAATTCCAGTAGCAAAGGTGCAGAAAGTGGAAAAACCTTCAGTTCCAGAAATGGGTACATGCATAACCAGAATAATTAAAACAAATACAACTCCAAGATTTTTTTTTTCATTCCCATTTAGAAATAACATGTATATTGAAAGTTGGAAATTACAAGAAGAAAAATGATGCCTCTGACTAGGGCTGGGTATTGGCTAGAGATTTCGTATTGCGATATTTTTAACTGTACTGCGATATGTATTGCAATATTTTCAACAAAAATATCGTCTGCATTTTACTTTGTTTATAGTAATGTCATCCGCATTTTTTACTTCAATAGATAAATTTACATGCTTGATTATTCTGATGACGACAATCTCTGGTTGAAACCGGTCAACAAAATAAATTTACTGCTGCATTCTCACAAAGTATTGGTGATCTGTTTTATATCTTTAAGTTTACAACTTTAGGTACAGACCCTATTGAATACCTTTCGGTATCCACACGTGAGAATCTCCCGCAATTTTAACCTCAAGGTGTTGGTCTCCAGTTTTTCTTTGTATTGTAAAAATTTAAAGGGTATATTCTTATTATATTAACTTCTTTTTACATGTAGAATATACCTTACTTTGATAAATAACCAATTAAAGATATCTTGTTCATTGAATTACCATTAAGCAAATTACTGTTTTATAACATGATCGCAAACCTTTCTGACAACTTTTCTTTATATTTTATGATAGAATTCCTGAGTCCAAGCATTTTGCTGGTATATCTGTATTACAAAAACGTATTGCAATACAAGATTTTGTGTCAACATACCGCAATATATTGGAATATCAGTATTATTGCCCAGCCCTACCTCTAACTTTAGTGACAACACTTTTCTTTCAGGTGCTGATGGTAAACTTTACTGTAAAGCTTGTAAAAAGTCTTTCCACAAGGAGAGATTTTTTAAGACACACAGATGCATGCCAACAACAGACTATGTTGACATCACAAAGAAGAGTGTTCTCACTGTGGAATATGGTAAGTCAATTCAAGTTTTATTAAATTAAGAAAATGACAATATTGTTGTGGAAGACATATCAAACAATAATAATTAAAATTGTTATGTTTAACATGTTAAAGTTTAATAAACATTTACAGGATGGTTTTTATACATGTAAAAGGCACAATGAATAATTGTTGTACATGTCAAAATTAAATGTTCTGGGGCAAACTAAGTTGTATTTAATATTGGATAGCATCAAAAACCTTTCCTGCTGTGTGCCTAGCTTACACTTTCATCTTTGATCTGCCGCTTCAAACTGTTTGAGACCCAAATCTAGATTGTGACCTACATGACATCATATGTTAGTTGCACTTTCAAAATGCAATCTAAATAGTGCAATTTTTTTTTAACTAAAGGCATTGTAGAGTAGAAGCATTTTATTTTTGTTTCTTTTAAGCTCTCTGTAAGAACTAAATCTTCACTGATGTACAGCTATTCGCCGTTATCACACGGAATTGTGGCATCAAAACAATTCTTGGAAATTTCACACAAAAAATTTGCTGGAGGAATGTATGAATTTCCTATATTCTAACCACAAGCCCTTATATCGCTTTAAAAAATTAAGGTGTTAAAATATCTTTTTTATACACCCCAATTTTTTTAAAGTCGGATTTAAGCCTGTGGTTCTAACATGTATGTCTAAAGAACTCACTTTGCAAGTTTGCAAGCAGTGCTTTGTGCTGCTCATTGCATTTGCTAATATATTGGCCATTTACTGTACATTTGCTTATAGCAGGTATATGTATGGGATGATAATTAATGTATGGTTTAATTGTAAATGTAGGTGAGAATGAGGAAGCAGTGTCAGCTTCAGAAGATGAAGAATTAGACAATGATGAAGACAAGGATTTCAGAGTCAGTGACTACAAACTGAAGGATGCAGAGGAAGAGGAAGACAATGAATTAGAGGAGGATGGTGATGAAGAAGAAAGAGGGGAAGGTAAACCAAAGAAAAAGCGAAGATCTTACAAAGTCAGGATGGATGCTGATGGTGATGAGAACAAAGGGGCTCGTCCAACGGATCAAATTGGAGACGTTCCTATATTTAGAACGGAGGCTGAGAAGTCTCTTTTTGAGCAGAGCTTAAATGTAGATCTGAGTTTTGTGGACAATCTTTTTCGACAGCATATGATTGAGCAGGATTTAAATGATAAAGCTCCCGTGGCATCTCGTATGACAACCAACACACTGAGTCTGTACTCTTGTAACATGTGTGATAAAATCTTTAAGACTTTGTCTCACATGAGATTGCATTGCTTGACTCACACTGATTCTAAGCCATTCAAGTGCCCAAAGTGTCCCTACAGAAGTAATGGAAAAGGTAATACATATACATGTACATAGTATAATGAAAAATGATTTTGGAAAATAAAGTGTATTTTAAATGCATTTAAGATTTGGAACAGACCTCTGTAATATTGATTCTTCCATCTTTAATTAACTATACATATATTTTTCTTCATGTTAATGTGCACACATACTGATATGAAATTGGTATTAAATATAATTACAAATTGTATATGTACATGTATTATGATTTTCTTTGTTGAATTTAGGAAACCTCTACACACACATGAGGAAACACACAGGGCAGTATTTCCGATGTAAGTTTTGTGACTTCAAGTCTGTGAACAAAAGCCATGTTCTGGAACATGAGGCTGTACATAGCAATGTAAGACACCAGTGTGATCTCTGCAAGAAAGACTACAACACTTTAAAGTCCCTCATTAATCATATCAGAAAGTATCATAAAAACAGCCCTAAGGGTGAGGAGTACCTGTCCTCCTTTCTTCAGGGTGGTCGCCAAAGGGGTGCAACAGTTATTCATCAATGCCATGTGTGTAACAGAAAATTCAAAAAGAAGATAGACAGAGATCGTCACCTGTATGTACATGATATCAAGGATATCCCAACTATTCAGATGTGTTCACTTTGTGATTATACAGCCAGTCGGAAAGTTTATCTGGAAAAACATTTTCAGAAGCACCGGGTCATTTACAGATGTGTGAAGTGTGAAGAGAAATTCCTGAGTACCATTCGTCTAATTGACCACCTCACCAACACACATTTACAAGATGATGCCACTACTAAGTGGGAAAGCATGTTTGAAGAATGTATCAACAACAGCTTGTATCTCCCTGAGCCTGATGAGATGCTGAGCTCAGCCGAGAAAGAGCTGGTCAGTCTCCCTGCTGAGCTATCTCAGACCGATCTGGAGGGCAAGGCCAAGGTGGAGGTGGAACAAGTACCAGGGGAGACAACTGGAACTATTGAGGCAGTGCAGGGTGGGCAGGATCTTCCAATGTCTGAAACAGAGGGGCAGAGTAAGAATTTTATAATGTTAAAACACCTGTGAATTTCTTTGGAAATAGTAAAAAAATACAAGTACATGTACTGAATATTTTCTTTCTTTACAATACATGTATTTTAATTTGTTACAAACAGTAGGGAAATATTTGACACAAAATCTAAATACATATATATTACTATTGGACATATTTTTTCTGTAAGTTTCTAAGAATTTAGATAATTAGGGATCTGTAAATGTGCTTGATTTTACAACTCCAGATGTAGATGAAGTAAAACCTGAGGTAACACCATCTGTGGAGGAAGGGAATATCAAAACCGAGGAAAAGGACGATGAACAAATTGAAGACAATGACCTCCTAACTTCTGATCCTCAGTCTTCCTCAAAAAATGAAAACGCTTCATCCCAAGCTGAGGAAGCTCACCTTCCTCTTGCAGATCAGGAAAGTAGCACAGTTAATGAAAATGAGGACACTGTTTTGTCCTCTACTGAGGAAACTGGTGGAACATCAATTGAAGAGAATGTCCTCGAGATTCCAAAGGAGGAGAAATTAGATTCTGCAGACCTCATCAAAACCTTAGGGTACCGTCCTCTAACCCTGCAGGTATTTCACAAAATGAGGGAGACATTTGGGCACGAAGAATGTGAATACTGCGGAAAGTTGTATTACAACAAAATGGACTACGATCAGCATGTCAGAACACATACAGGTACAAGATGTAATGGAAGATACGTGTACTTAGCAAACTGACTGGATATCCTGTCAGTTAGAATGTTTTCTGACTAATCAACCAATTGAATATTCATTTTCAGGGGACAACCCATATCCATGCTCTATTTGTGGATACCGTGCCTTATCAAGGGATAGTCTGCAGTCTCACAAGGCTACGGAGCATGAAAAGTTGTCTTTCCCTTGTAAGGAGTGTGAGTTTACAGCCAACAGTCGGTCACAGTTGTGGAATCACAGCCTCAAACATTCTGGTTTTGGAGAAGACATGGGCATTGAGTGCCCTGAATGTCAACAAAAACTGCCAAGGTAGGGAAAAATAAATGTAGCAGCAGAAATTACCTATTATACATGGGAGATGTTATGAGTGCTCTCCCTTGGCAAAATTTGAAAACTCTTTGAGAAGTTATTGAAAATGGTGAATTGAAAAGATTTTTTTCTTTGTTTTTCATTTGCAATAGAGAAATATCTGACTTTTCTTTCCAGTTGGACATTGTTTAAAGACCATGTTAGCGAGGCTCATCCTGACAGCAAGAACAAAGAACTGAACAAGTTGCATATTTATGCAGGCTTAGAGAGCTCCCCCAAACACAAGGTTCAGGGGAAAATTGGTAAGACTGAAGGCTTGTAACACTAAGATTGAATTTTTTTATACTGTTGTTTGAATTCTATAATAATATCACTGCTTTTCACTTTTCATCATTAATGTACTGTAAAATCACATATTTTTGTGGGGTCAAATTTTTGTGATTTGAGGAAAAAATATGGGTTTGTGGGGATTGGATTTCGTGGGTGAAGAATTGTTGAGTAGTTATGTATATGACATTAATTTTATATTTGATGGTGGACATGAATTCGTGGGTCTCCTTATACCTTGAAAACAACGAAAATTAAACCCCCATGAAAATTAGTGATTTCTCGGTAACTGAAATAGATTGTATTTTTCTTCTTGAAGGGTTATGTATTTGTTTAAATTTAGTTATGTATATGACATTAATTTTATATTTGATGGTGGACATGAATTCGTGGGTCTCCTTATACCTTGAAAACAACGAAAATTAAACCCCCATGAAAATTAGTGATTTCACGGTAACTGAAATAGATTGTATTTTTCTTCTTGAAGGGTTATGTAATTGTTTAAATTTTAAAGATTTTGTTGTGCATAACTATTAATATATGGGTATATGCACTACATGTAAAAATTAACATTCTAGGCCGCCGAAGTTACAAGTGTCCATACTGTGATAAAATGTTCTTCCGTGCAAACTCAGAACTGCAAAAACACATCTGGATTCACGAGGGAGTGAAGCCATTTAAATGTCCTTTGTGTCCCCATGCCTGTAGGAGTAAGAACAACCTACAAGCTCACATGTTAAGACATTCCAATGAGAAACCCTACACCTGCACAGACTGTAACAAAGCCTACAAATCAAAAACAGCGCTACGGTGGCATGTCAGGTCCCATAAATCAGGAAGACTCTTCAAGTGTAGCAAGTAAGGAATTTATATTTTCAAGACTTCTCTTTATAGACTCTTAGATGCAAGTCTATAATAAGTGTTTAGCAATTTATTCATTTTTTCTTCTTGCTAGAGAGAAATTATGTAGTGGCCAATTCTTTATTAACTAAACAAATTTGGACATTCATGAAACAGCCAGTACTGCTTGTGAAAAACTGCTTTTGACTACAGAATGTGTCATAACCCCATCAAATCCACCACACCCCCTTACCCCCTTTCCAAATTAAAAAGATCTGTTATATCAATTGTTTGTTCAGCATTTGTTTTCCCATCAATTTACATGACAGAATATTACACAGTATAAAATTATTTGGCATTTCAATATCAACATAGGCTTAAAATTCTCATATGTTTAAAAATCAAATATCATTTAACCATCATTGTATGCATGCTGACATTTTTCTTAAGGTGTCCTTATGAGGCAACTCAGGCAGCCCACTTGAGACGCCACATGGAAATTCACAATGTCATCAAGAAGTATGCCTGCCAGCACTGTAGCTACACAGCAAATACTCTGAGTTATCTAAAGGTCCACCACACAAGGAGTCACAAAGGAGTGCCCTACAAAAATGTAGATGTTCCTGTGGTAGAAGAGACAGGACATGATTCTACTGGGGCATCTCAGGTAGGTTTTACTGCCAAACTCAATAAATATTTTACTGAAAATGAATATATACGTGTACATTAATTGATTCAAGTATTAACCACATTTGCAAGCATGCATTTGCAATCTTTTTTTTTTTTTGATGATGGCATTTGTATAAAGACACATAATAGACAACTCTTTATCATGCATCAATTTAGGTTGAAAAATAAGATCAGTTACAACCATTTAAGAATTAATCCAATCAAACATCTCTCATATGCTTTCTGGTACATGTACATGTACAGTATATGTATCTTCCTAAAGTGTCATGTAATAAGTGCTTTTATTTTATATTTCAAAGTATTTTGTTGAAAAACTTACAAGTTATGAGGATTTTTGTGGAAGCCAATCAGAAACATGAACATGTAGATGAACTCAGTTTGAGTTCATGCTAAATCAGTGAAATCATCTTGTGAAGATATACATGTACATGTAAGTGCATGCACATCTACTTGTAGATTTCGTCTTCACTGGATGATCACTTGCAGACAAAAACAAAGTACCAGAGAAGAATCACTGTTTTGAGAAACATAACAATAACTGTGAAAAACATCATTTTTCAGGTTTACAGATGTTTAAGCTGTGACTACTTGTTTGGAAACTTGACAGATCTAAAGAGACATTTAAAGATCAGACATCATCTGACACTCACAAATTTTGCTGGATTGGATGGAGATAAATCAACTACCATAACAAATCTGACAGAACCAGTAAGGAAAAACCATCAATTCTCTCCCTTAAACTCACCTGAGACAAAGGGTTAAGTCTGACAAAATTGTGTCCAGAATAATTTTTTTATCACCACATTTTTGCATAGAAGTACATGTTCTTGTAATGTAAAAGTGAATGGTTCCACTTCATACATATAGTTGTTCAGCCACAAATATCCATGTAATCGATAATCTAGATACGCTTGAAATAAATTATCCATTTCCTATAAACAATTTCAGGTGACATCATTTCCAGAAGAGAGTTCCACTACTGGTATGATGACAGAGGTAGGCCAGGACAGTGCTGTACCAGAAATCAATGAGGTCCATACTGTAGATGCCTCAGCAACAGGTATAACACTGCAAATTTATATTTTCTTATATTTTCTCTGATAAGAAAAATAACTCCCACCAGGAAAAATACCTATTTCCTTTATAAAATTGTCAAATTTAAAAGGCTTTTCTTAAAAATAAAAATCCCTCACAAAGTATACCAAAATTGTGTGCATTTTATTTAAAAATAAGATTTCAAAATCATTATTGCAAAAGAAGCTTTAAACAACTGCTCACTGAAGAGTTCAAATTACATGCTAGTTTTATGCAGCTCGAGTGATCTGCCCGTATATTTAAAATGGAATGAACAGAAATGCACGGAGAATGACGCACCTGATTAGATCAAGTATTTTTAACATTATTAGACCAAGAGAGAGTATTTTGAAACATTATTTGCCTGTATTTTGCCAATGTTACAAGTAAACAAGTGATTTCTGTTCCCTAAAACTTCATTATTTTTTAACAATTTTCCTATGGCAGGTAAAATGAACTAAATTTCTATTCTCCTTCGACCCCCCCCCCCCCCCCCAACCTCTGCCCTTCTGTTACTATAATCCAACTATTCGCATCATCTTTTTTTTCGCAATTTGCAGTTTGAAATCAATCTGCGACAATTAATTTTCACAACCTAGAAAACATCCTCTAGAATTAATAATAACAAAATGGTTTGTGGCAATAAATATTCCCGAATTAAGGAAGGTCGCGAAACTGGTGGATATCTATCTCGCACGAAAAATAGTGTACAGTATTATGCATTGCTTGTTAGATCTGTTGGCCATATTTAAATTTATTGAAACTTGACAAGTTGATAAGCTTATCAAAATCAATATATAATTATCAATCATATATTTTCATGTTTCTAAACTATATGAAATACAACTTTTAATGAAGTTTCTTCTAACTGTTTTTAGAGATAGATTCCTCAAATTTGGATGCGAAAACTGCCTCAGCTGTCAATATTTTACAACAGATATTTGGAATGTCACAACAGGTAGGCTAACAATCTCCATACAAGAAAGTGAAATTTCATCCTCATATTTTCATATCAAGCTTTCTTATTGAACAATCTCCTCCATACAAGAAAGTTAAAGTTTTTGCTTATATTTTCATATCAGACTTTTAATACACAAACATGTGCATGTTTATGTATTATAAAATACATGTATATTGAACATACATAATCATATTTAGTGCCTCTCATGTTGCTTCTTGTTTGCTACATACCAATATATGATTACAAGAGGCCCATGGGCCACATCGCTCACCTGAGCACATTGGCTAGGCAAAAGCACAATCAGTTCAGTATTGAAAAGAAGGGGGGGGGCTTGAATTTTAAACTACCTGATGATGCTTCCATGTCAATATAACAAATGGCTTTGTTGTACTTGAGAAGATTTTTTTTAAAAAATTCCCATGTATTCCTTTGTAAAAATTTGATCCCTCATTGTGGCTCCTCCCTATCCCAGGGGTCATCATTTGAACAAACTTGAATCTACACTACCTGAGGATGCTTCCATATCAATATGACTAAACATAGCTTTTCTGTTCTTGAGAAGAAATATTTTTTCTATATGTTCTTATGTAAAACTTTCCATCCCCCATTGGGCCCCATCCTACCCCTGGGGGTCATCATTTGAACAAAATTGAATCCACACTACCTGAGGATGCTTCCTTATCAATATGACTTAACATAGCTTTTCTGTTCTTCAGAAGAAGATATTTTCCTTTATATTTCTATGTAAAACTTTGATCCTTCATTGTGGCTCTGCCCTACCCCCGGGGGTCATGGTTTGAACAAACTTGAATCTACACTACCTGAGGATGCTTCCATATCAATGTGACTAAACATAGCTTTTCTGTTCTTGAGAAGAAATATTTTTTCTATATGTTCTTATGTAAAACTTTCCTTCCCCCATTGGGCCCCACCCTACCCCTGGGGGTCATCATTTGAACAAAATTGAATCTACTCTACCTGAGGATGCTTCCATATCAAAATGACTAATCATGGTTTGCAGTTCTTCAGAAGAAGATATTTTCCTTTATATTTCTATGTAAAACTTTGATCCTTCATTGTGGCCCCCGGGGGTCATGGTTTGAACAAACTTGAATCTACACTACCTGAGGATGCTTCCATATAAATATGACTCATCATGACTTTGCTGTTCTTGAGAAGAAGATTTTTAAAGATTTTTCCTTTATATTTCTATGTAAAACTTTGATCCTCCATTGCGGCCCCGCCCTACCCCGGGGGCCATGGTTTGATCAAATTTGAATCTACACTACCTGAGGATGCTTCCATATAAATATGACTCATCATGGCTTGCTGTTCTTGAGAAGAAGATTTTTAAAGATTTTTTCTATACATTTCTATGTAAAACTTTGATCCTTCATTGTGGCCCCGCCCTACCCCCGGGGGTCATGATTTGAACAAACTTGAATCTACACTACCTGAGGATGCTTCCATATAAATATGACTCAACATGTCTTTGCTGTTCTTGAGAAGAAGATTTTTAAAGGTTTTTCCTATATATTTCTATGTAAAACTTTGATCCTCCATTTAGGCCCCGCCCTACCCCTGGGGGTCATGATTTGAACAAACTTGAATCTACACTACCTGAGGATGCTTCTATATTAATATGACTCATTATGGATTTGCTGTTCTTGAGAAGAAGATTTTTAAAGGTTTTTCCTATATATTTCTATGTAAAACTTTGATCCTCCATTGTGGCCCCGCCCTACCCCCGGGGGTCATGATTTGAACAAACTTGAATCTACACTACCTGAGGATGCTTCTATATTAATATGACTCATTATGGATTTGCTGTTCTTGAGAAGAAGATTTTTTAAGGTTTTTCCTATATATTTCTATGTAAAACTTTGATCCTCCATTGTGGCCCCGCCCTACCCCCGGGGGTCATGATTTGAACAAAATTGAATATACACTACCTGAGGATGCTTCTATATTAATATGACTCATTATGGCTTTGCTGTTCTTGAGAAGAAGATTTTTAAAGGTTTTTCCTACATATTTCTATGTAAAACTTTGATCCTCCATTGTGGCCCCGCCCTACCCCCGGGGGTCATGATTTGAACAAACTTGAATCTACACTACCTGAGGATGCTTCTATATTAATATGACTCATTATGGCTTTGCTGTTCTTGAGAAGAAGATTTTTAAAGGTTTTTCCTATATATTTCTATGTAAAACTTTGATCCTCCATTGTGGCCCCGCCCTACCCCCGGGGGTCATGATTTGAACAAACTTGAATCTACACTACCTGAAGATGCTTCCATATAAATATGACTCAACATATCTTTGCTGTTCTTGAGAAGAAGATTTTTAAAGGTTTTTCCTACATATTTCTATGTAAAACTTTGATCCTCCATTGTGGCCCCGCCCTACCCCCGGGGGTCATGATTTGAACAAACTTGAATCTACACTACCTGAGGATGCTTCCACATGAGTTTCATCTTTCCTGGCCCTGTGGTTCTTGAGAAGAAGATTTTTAAAAGATGCTATTAATTTTTCACTAATTCTTTAGTATCTCCCCTTGAAAAAGGACATGGCCCTTCATTTTAACAAATTTGAATCTCCTTCACCCAAGGATACTTTGTGGCAAGTTTGGTTGAAATTGGCCCAGTGGTTCTTGAGAAGAAGTCGAAAATGTTAAAAGTTTACAGACAGACAGACAGACAGACAGACAGACAGACAGACAGACAGACAGACAGACAGACAGACAGACGGACAGACAGACAGACGGACGCCGGACAAAAAGTGATCAGAAAAGCTCACTTGAGCCTTCGGCTCAGGTGAGCTAAAAACTAATACACAATGTTGTTCAAACTTAAGTGTGCTAATATATAATTGTGCTAATCAGTTAAGATGACAATTGTGCTAAATTTTGAGTGTGCTAACTTAAGTATGATTGCAGTACATATTGCTTTAACAAAGCAGTTACCCACAGTGCAAAAATGTACTGCCTTATTTATACATGTATACAGTGCATGTTCTGGAGAAATAGATTTTTTTTTGGATGTAGTTCAAGCCTAGTGACTTGCTTGTTTTACTCTCTAGAATTCTGGTGGACCACAACAATTCACCATACAGTCTGAATCAGGAGAGGTAATGACTGTTAATCCAGAAACTATTATAGTCCAAGAAGGTGGGGAACAAGTCTTAGTAACTGACGGGAACCAGCCAGAAAATGGACACCAGCAATACGTTATCCAGTATGTCAACCAGGATCAAATAGAGAACTCCATGGTGGAGATTCAGACCATTCAAGATGTTCAACATTTCCAGACTATTGAACAAGAAATCATTCATTCCATGGAAGCCCAACCTCTTGGGGACAATGTTGTTGAGCAGCAAATAGTGCAGAGCTGATATTAATCATTCCTTTTAAATTCATTTTAAAAATTCCCTATTATGGAGGATATTATAATTATTATTTATGACAACAAACAGATCTAGACTTAAGTATAATCATCAATATCAGTGGATCTTTGGCTATGAAAGAAAATTCCTTGTAAATTTTTTGACAACAGCCAAAAACCATTGTGATCTTTCTCTGATGATGAATAAAAAAATGTAAGGAATTGAAATTTCAAGTTTTTATTATTTGAGTCTGCAGGATTTTTGTCCATGCCAGATATGAATTGTGAACTTTTGAACACAGTGAAGTTAACTTACTGTAAAAGCAGGAATATTCGTTGGGGATTAAATTTTGTTTATTTCTTTGTTAACAATTATCAACAAAAATTACATACCACATAAATTTTTTATATGACTTTATATTGAATGGGGTTACTTTCAAACAATGAAATTAAATGCTCAAGAACCCTTTTTAGAGGACAAATCAACAAAATTTTATCCCCACAAAAATTTGTGCTTCTACAGTATTATTTTAAAACTTTTTGTTAAGAATTTTAAAAAAATCTGTAATCTCCAGTAGATCATCTGCATTATCCAGATGCCATAATGGAACAGTTTTTCATTATAATTTTACGAGTTCTACGTTATAGTTCAGCTTAAGATGGCATTTCTTTTTTAGGATTTCTTCTCATTTCCACTTTTTTCAGCAATTCCAAGCTCCATACGCAATTCCTTTGAATCATAAATCCTGAAAAAAAAGTTTTTATTTTAAATTCACAAAACTGTACATTTCAAAAACTCATTACACAAGATGAACCCCTTACTTGGAAAGCTGAAGTCCTCCTGTTGTTTTGATCACATTTCTAACTTTCTCATGACAATGTGCCATAGTGATAAACAAGGCCAAGACACATCTGATGACTTCATCGCCAACATCTCGACCTAAATCAAAATAAAAAAGCACTTTTTCTGCCACAAAATCAGTAAAAATGTGTAACTAGAACTGTCCAAAAGGGACAAATACCCCCCCCCCCCCCCCCCCCCCCCCCCCCCGGTTGGGTTTTTCAGAGAAGGTACCAAATCACTAATGTTTTCTAGATGTGAGAGGTGTTCACAATTTGCTTTAGATTGACAATTTAATTACTCATTATATTTTTTTTAATGAATGAAACTAAGGTGCACCCTAATAAAACATCAATACTAATAATTACAGTGTTTTTTATTACATTGAAAAAATAGTTTGCAACTATCTGTCATCTTTGTGAGACATGACACTCTGCAAATTGATTGTTGAAAAAAAAAAATCATAATTAATTATACAAAATCAAATTGATCTTAATACCTTTATATCAAACTCATTTTAAAAATAAAAGGCTGGTTCCAGTAACTATGTATTTTGACAGACATAAATTACAATTAAGAGACTTAGACAACAGAGATCTTTATTTCTTTCTGCCCAATTCCCAGGAGATATAGATAAGACCTGCTTGATCAGAGATCCCCTAACAGCTTCCCACACTGAACTCATTAATTAATCTTTAACTGGATGCATGTCCACTCATTACTCCCAAGGGACAAATGGATTTACACTATCTGCTGTGTAATGTAAAAACTGTTTTTAATACTTTGTGATTTTTTTTTAAGCTCTAATGAGTTGTTTTAAGCTGTAGTTTACATTTTTGTACATATGTTCTAGATTCTATGTCTTAAACCTTAGACATGAACCCAAAATGACCAAGTCAATAAAAATGAAAAAAAAACCTGTAAAATGCAGAAAAATTATCAAATAATGTTGAAAATAACAGGTGCACATCTTCATATGTAAATAATAAGGGCACAAATTTTCATACAAATCTATGCAATAGTCTCTGGGAACAGATCTGGATAAAACCACATAATAAAAATGAAAAAACACCTGTAAAATGCAAAAAAAATTCCAATCATGATGAAAATACCAGGTGCACACCTTCATATGGCGAATAATAAGTGTACAAATTTTCAGACAAATCCTTGCAACAGTTTCCAAGAAATGGTCCGGACAAAATCTCGTCTACAGACAGACGGACAGACAGAAAGACGGACAAGCTGATTCCAATATACCCCCCCTAAACTTCATTTGCGGGGGGTATAATAATTTTGATAATCAAATCATAAAACTGAGTATCCATGAAAGTTTATCTTCACGCTAGCTACAGATCATGGGTACTGTAGATCAAATTTTTGGTGACATCTTATTTTTTCAAGATGGTCATATTTTGCATTCATAAGGAAAAAAAAAAAAAAAAAAACATCACAAGTTTTGGTTACTGTAAACATACTTTTTTTAATGGGTCAAAATTCTGCAGAATCGCAATTTCTGTTCAATCTGCTGGTAGAAAATTACTTGGATAATTTGTGTCCGCTTACATAGAATAAATTCATACCTTGTGGGAAAAAGTGCTTCTACAGTATTCTTGTATATAATCTTTACAAATGTAAAAGAATGTAATTTTTGTGCTCAGATGGACTCGCATAAATACTCAAAAATGAAGTTCTCGACAATAAAAAGTGATGGAGAGTAATTTGGTGTTCTTACCTTGCACTGCAATGAAGACTTTAGCGAGCTGTGGCATCATTCCTGATATTAATACAGCTTTAACCAACTGGGGGTACATGGCTGTACAGGTTGTCATTGCTAAAATCAATAACAAAATATCAGTTACATTATAATTGTTTCTTATGAGATGGTTGACTGTAACATAACTCTGTGCAACCATAATTCAATCCATAATTCAATCACAATTTTTAAAATTGACATGAAAACATGCATAAGAATTACATTAATTTCATACTGTAATTTCTTTGAATTACTACATTTCAACATTAAGAAGCACATGCACTAGGAAGTAAATTTAGTAACAATATGCAAGGTGATAAGGTACATCTCAATGGACATGCATGTAGATGTATGAATAATATACATGTCAAAATGCAAGATGTACAACAATATTAGTACAATGTCCAAATGAAACCTCATGTATCTTTGTTGTACCTTGAATTGTAAGAAACCAGAGTTGAGAAGCCTCCTCCCAAAAGGGGAGATAATTAGGAGATACTGTCAGGACATCCTTCTTTCTGTTTTTGGAGCTGTTGATGAAGGCACCCTTCACAAATGTACAGGCACAGATAAAGAAGTGGACCAAGACGTCTTCAGCAGCAACTGTCAAAATATATTATAAATACATTTGTTAATGTACTGCAGATAACCAATATTTTGAGACACCTTATTTTCGTGAGAAAGTTATTATGGGTTTCCTTTTCACTAATGGTGATTATTATTGTAGATAATCTTTCATAATAAGAATAATTGTTTTAATGTCCTGGATTACTTTTTGCAGCTAGTTGTCTGAAACTACAATACATATACATAATTTGATCTTGTTGGTACTAATTAAATTCATGCATTTTTGGTGCTATTAGAATAATCTGTATTTATCAAATTTGTTAATAATACTATTTGAATGTTTGACATTTCTCCTACAACTTTCTGTAATTGTTACAGTTTTAATTGACTTACCACTTCTTACTGCACAGCTTTGATGCCTCAAATAAAACATGCCAAGTGTTACCATTTTGAGCCACAAAGGGTTAAATTCTGTTTTTCTTCCTGAAAAAAAAGGAAATTAAATAGTAAGACTACAAGCTAAATGATTGAGCCTATAAAAAACACACAGTTCTCCATCCCCGTCACCTGTATTTTATCTGTAAGAGTTGATGTCTACTTACCTACAAGAGGCACAGCCTCCATTACAATTAGTGTAACATTGACCAAGTGTCCACTCCTCCTCACTAAGTTGGGCTCTATCACGGCAAAGTTCAGGAAAATGTTACATAACAGCTCCAAGGCTTTCTACAAATGTTTAGAAAATATATACCTAAGTATATCAAAGTTGTAACAAGTAAACCATCAAAAATATTTCACATTGACCTTTTTTTAATTCAGTTTAACTGAAATCTAAAAATATCTTTAAAGGATTTCAATTGAACTCATGTTCCTTGGATGGGATCCCCAAAACTGTGGTACATATTACTTTTTGTTCTTAAATAAAACACTGATGCTCCCCTACAGCAGCTCATTGCCAAGATTAGGTTTTTCAAAAGTAGGTCGAACTCAAAGGACATAGTCATGAGGTAAAAAATGTTGGTACCCTCTAAAAGGTCTTGTCACAAGGAATACACATGTACAATATAAAATCCCTATCACCAACCATTCAAAAGTTTTTCAAAAGTAAATCAAATTACACTACAAGGTTGTGAGGTCAAAAATGTTGGTACATTGTACCTGAAGAATGCACCTGAAGTAAGTCAAACTCGAAGGTCAAGGTTTCAAATGAGGTCATCAAAAATGTTGGTATCAACAGACAGATCTTATCACAATGAATACACATGTGAAACATGAAAGCCTTAGCACCAGTCATTCAAAAGGAATGGCCAAGTTGACATTTTTCCAAGGTAAAGTCAAAGGTCATGAGGTAAAAAATGTTAGTACCTAAAGAGAGGTCTTGTTACAAGGAATACACATGTGAAATATGAAAGCCTAGAAAAAACTATTTAAATTTATAACAAAGTTTTCAATTTTTCAAAAGTAGGTCAAACTCCAAGGTCAAGAAGTTAAAAATGTAAGTATCAAAAGAAAGGTCTTGTCACAAGGAATATACATAAGAAATGTAAAAACCCTTGCACCAACTGTTCAAAAGTTATAGCCATGGTTAAAGTTTCTGCGGACAAACAGATGGATTGACAAATCAAAAACTATATGCCCCCAGAATCTCTGATAATGGAGGCATAAAAAAGCTCTAAACAATTTATACTGAACATCTATTATGCTGAGTGCATTTTGCAGCATCTTAAAACAAATGCAATAAATTACTTTTCAATTTGCATTTTTCACTCTTGCTCTAAAATTCTCTCATAAAAACTTTGAAGATTAAACTTTTTACAAGATACATACTACTACATTATCATTGGTGTCATCCTTAAAATATCTCTTCAACATGTGTTTCAAATAATGGTTCAACATGGGTAACAATTCATTGTCCACTAAGATTTGCCTCGGTTCATCTTCCGAGGTGAGATGACAGAGTCCAGGCAGTAAAAACCTCAGTAAATCCACACTCATACTGCTCTGATCTCCCAGATATGAGGCTTCATCCTCATCCGGATCACTGTCTACAGCTCCATTGGGAACATTCTCAGATGTTTCTTCCAAAGTATCATCAATCGGATCATTTCTGGGAGAAGCACTACTGTCCTCATGGTTCGTTTGGGAATTTCCATCACAAGAAATTGCTTCACAATTCTCCTTTGAATTTGCACTTTGCTCCTTATTATCCTCCACTTCCTCTTTCAGTTCTCCATGTTTCTGTGTTACATGTACACTCTTACTCTTGGCACACTTGTTTCCTTCCCTCTTTCCTCTTTCAACTTCCTGTTTTCCCTCCAAGTGTCCATCCCCCCCTTCATCAAGTTCATTTTGTCCATCATCTTTTTCACCTTGCTCATCCTCGACATTTTCATCTTCCTCGTCCTCCATAGTAAGGCATTCTGATAGTGCATCTGAAATGGCTTGAGTGTCTATATTCACTTTTTTCTTGATGTTTTCAAAACCAGTGTCATCAATGAATCCTTTTGGATTTGCATCCATGCCTCCCTGTTCAGAGCTTAATATGTGGGAAAACTCCATCTGTAGTTTGCTGGAAATAGAGAAAAATTTCAGCTCTCTCATATAAAAATGTTATTCAGTTCATTCCTCTTCATATATAAATATTATCATTCACATGAACAGCAAGTATCAGAATTACTATATACATGATATAACATCATGTACAAAAGACTGACATTTTAAAATAGGCAAAATTATCTTTTTTTTTCTCAAAGCATAATATTATACATATACATAGCAAGTTCTATAATCAATTGATCATAACTTTACTTTTGTTCAAAATCAAAAAAATTATAGAGATAGACTGAATACATACACTGTATATGTAATAACTAACACATACAAGAGGCCCATGGGCCACATCGCTCACCTGAGCACATTGGCTAGGGGAAAAAAAAACAAAAATCAGTTTAGAATTGAAAAGTTAATGGGGGGGGGGGGGGGGGGGGAGGGATTTGAATTTTAAACTACCTGATGATGCTTTCATATCAATATAACAAATGGCATTGCTGTTCCTGAGCAGAAGATTTTTTCCCATATATTCATTTGTAAAAATTTGATCCCCCATTGTGGCCCCACCCTACCCCCGGGGTCTCTCATTTGAACAAATTTCATTCTACACTACCCAAGGATGCCTCCATATCAATTTTACTAATCATGGCTTTTCTGTTCTTGAGAGAAAGATTTTTTCCTGTATATTTCTATGTAAAACTTTGATCCCCCATTGTGGCCCCACCCTACCCCCAGGGGTCATGATTTAAACAAACTTGAATCTGCACTACCTGAGGATGCTTCCATATAAATATGACCAATCATGGTTTTGCTGTTCTTAAGAAGAAGATTTTTTTAAATATTTTCCTATATATTTCTATGTAAAAATTTGATCCCCCATTGTGGCCCCACCCTACCCCCAGGGGTCATGATTTGAACAAACTTGAATCTGCACTACCTGAGGATGCTTCCATATAAATATGACCAATCATGGCTTTGCTGTTCTAAAGAAGAAGATTTTTAAAGATATTTTCCTATATATTTCTATGTAAAACTTTGATCCGCCATTGTGGCCCCACCGTACCCCCCGGGGTCATGATTTAAACAAACTTGAATCTGCACTACCTGAGGATGCTTCCATATAAATATGACCAATCATGGCTTTGCTGTTCTTAAGAAGAAGATTTTTAAAAATTATTTTCCTATATATTTCTATGTAAAAATTTGATCCCCCATTGTGGCCCCACCGTACCCAGGGGGTCATGATTTAAACAAACTTGAATCTGCACTACCTGAGGATGCTTCCATATAAATATGACCAATTATGGCTTTGCTGTTCTTAAGAAGAAGATTTTTAAAGATATTTTCCTAAATATTTCTATGTAAAACTTTGATCCCCCATTGTGGCCCCACCCTACCCCCGGGGGTCATGATTTGAACAAACTTGAATCTGCACTACCTGAGGATGCTTCCATATAATTATGACCAATCATGGCTTTGCTGTTCTTAAGAAGAAGATTTTTAAAGATATTTTCCTATATATTTCTATGTAAAACTTTGATCCCCCATTGTGGCCCCACCCTACCCCCGGGGGTCATGATTTGAACAAACTTGAATCTTTACTACCTGAGGATGCTTCCATATAAATATGACCAATCATGGCTTTTCTGTTCTTAAGAAGAAGATTTTTAAAGATATTTTCCTATATATTTCTATGTAAAACTTTGATCCCCCATTGTGGCCCCACCCTACCCCCAGGGGTCATGATTTGAACAAACTTGAATCTACACTACCTGAGGATGTTTCCACATAAGTTTCATCTTTCCTGGCCCAGTGGTTCTTGAGAAGAAGATTTTTAAATGATGCCATTATTTTTTCACTAATTCCTAATTATCTCCCCTTGAAAGGGGGCGTGGCCCTTCATTTGAACAAACTTGAATCCCCTTCACCCAAGGATACTTCGTGGCAAGTTTGGTTGAATTTGGCCCAGTGGTTCTTGAGAAGAAGTCGAAAATGTGAAAAGTTTACAGACGGACAGACGGACGGACGGACAGACGGACGACGGACAAAAAGTGATCAGAAAAGCTCACTTGAGCCTTCGGCTCAGGTGAGCTAAAAATGACATCTTACCATAAATGTAACAAAAAAGGCAGGATTTCGTAAGTCTTTGATCTGAGAGCAGAAGTCTCCTCAGCCAACCAGGCTCCTAAGACTCGCACTGTAGCAATTACTACTGGGTTTTGATACTGAAAGAAGGTTTTATTTATAAATGTCTATTTCTGTACATACCGTATATACTCGCCTATAAGTCGGATTTTTGGAAGTTAAACTTTGGTCCAAAACTCATGTCTGACTTATAGGCGAGTTATAAAAAGATTGGTATTTTAGAGGGTCAATCCCTCTAATATAAGCTTCAAAAATACAACCGACTTATAGGCGAGTATATACGGTAAATGAATGAAGTACATGTATTGTTCAGTCAATAAGCAAACCCCTTGCAAAAATGTAGCCATGTATTTTCGCTTCTTTGATCTCCATTTCAAATTGCAAAAGGTGTATAACAATCATTTTTCTCCTAAACTGTAGTAGATGCATACAGTGCACTAGTAAAGTACTGATTATTATTATTTTTTAACATAATTGAAAATACCATTCATTAGATGAAAAATGCAATTCTATTGGAAAAACCAGAGAGAAAGGCATGTTAAGCCTAAAAACTTCTAGGAAGATCTTTGATTTTCATACCTGTCCTTTGGCATTGTTTTCATCTGAGAGTTCTTTTAGGAAGAAGATGATGGAATGAAATGCCCCTAACATGGCTGAATGAAGCTGGAGGATTTGTTTCTCATCAAGCAGAAGACTAGGGGATGTGGTCAGATAGATAATTATGTTCTCCAAAAGATGATAGCAAGCACAAAGCAAATCTGCCTTCTCTGAAATCTAATAAGATGCATTTATGAAACAAAACAACCTTTGCATAATAACCTGGCCCATCATGTCTTCCAGTTCCCAAAAAAACAAGTATACATAGTGTGAACAGTTTTGAACATTTTGTTCCATACCTTATCAATAGGGAAATTTTCCAGGGCCATCCTAACCTCAATACAACTGAGGTGTATAATCATAAGGAGAACTTTGTTGTCCTTCATGTTTGGGGGCAGTACAAACTCCATTCCTACTCGATCTATTAGGGAGGCCACCAACTTCAGAGCTGGCTCTCTTTGGGCTTCTCCTGAAAATGACATTTTAAAGAATTATCAGAGGAATTAATTTTCTATGGACAAAGAGCATTTTACCTCGGAAGTAAGGATATGCTTTTGGAAATATTTCCTGAGTGTGTGCCCCCTGTTGAGAAGTTTCATTTCTCACATCCTTGAAATCCATTGAGGAATAACAAAAAACTCTCCATTCATGAAATTCAAGGTTTTGAAAGAAAATACTTAAATGAAATGTAATTGGATAAGTACCAATTTGGACTAACCTAATCGATTGCTGAATATATCTTGAATTCCTTTCAAGATTGACTTATGCCATTGTTGCTGTTCTGCTTTTCTGAACTAAAACAAGAAAAAAAATTAAAAAGCTTCAGAATAAAGATTGATTTGAAGACGAAAGGAAATTTCAGGCCTTTTTTTTTTAAAATAATTTCAAAGATCATTCAAATTTTCAATACATGTACGGTATATCAATTATCATCGTAACATAAACATTCAAATCTTACCTCAGATATAGGTGTCACTCTTAATATCATGCCAATGAAATTACAGAGTTCAAATTTTTCTTGATCCTGAATCAAAATCATGGAAAAATAAGCAATAACACAAGTTAAGTGTAACACAGGAAATGAATCAAATCATGAATCTACAAGAGTGACAAATACATATAACTTGTGGTGTTGTAGTGTTAACTATATTCATGCCCTCAATAAAATTGTAAATTCAATAAACTGCAAATACCGTACAGTTGAATTTCAGTATCTCAAACACTGATATCTTGAATACCATTGATATGCAAAAGTGATTTAGAAGTCCCGACCCCTTATTCTTTTAGTACTTTACCCTGGATATCTCGAATCCTCAGATATCTCAAAGTTTTTCCTCAGTCTCACTGAGTATTTAACAAGATTTGACTGTAGTTAACATTATGTCATTATAATTATACATGTTGAAGTGATACATGTACTTGACATTTGCTGGAAATTAGACTCTGCAATTTGGTACCAAAGGAAAATGAACAAATCTACCCTCTACTACTTTAAAGCTTGATAAAGTAACTAGTGCTCATTCTTTGCAGAAGCTGTTTACCTGATTTTCTGCCATTTTCTTTGCAAAATAGTTCAGCAGCCTTCCCAGAGCTTGTTCCTGACCAGTCCAGACACAAGGCTTCATTGTATGTAGGATGTAAGTCAGCAAATCAAAGGCTTTTTTAGCTCCTGTGTTTAAAAACAAACAAAACTACATTGTACTTTAAATGAGCAGAATTTATACTCTTTATTGCAGTCACAACTCAAATAACACTCAGTCACTCACCTACATATCAATACACTTGTAAGACACAAGCACTTGAAACCCCCTTATTTTAATTTCTAGTGATCTACTGTATGACTTATAATATTATAATAATAAATTCTTCCTCTATCACATATTAAAGTACTGTTTATGTTACAAACTCCGAGTCAAAAGACTTAATTCATTGTAATACTTGCTACTATCTGATTAATCCTAGGGCTGTTAATTTGAATTCATTGCATTCTCAAAGATTAAAACTACAGATGTGACTGATAATTAATTTACTCTATACTGAGAATAGGAAGATGTACATGTATATTACCATATAATTCTTTAGCAATGACTTTGGTCAAGGCAGAAATAGTGCCATTGTCCAAAAGATGTTGTATTCCCTGCTGGGATCCAGCAAACATCTTCAGGATTTCAAACGCATCATTAATCATGTTATCCACCTCTTCATCATTGTTACTATGGTAGCAATCAACATAAAACAATCTTTAGTACAAATGCATTTCATTTTTTGAAATAACAAATCAATTTATTTCTTTTGGAACATTGAGCATGTTGTACAAGTATAAAATATAAATACCTCCTGATCAGAATGACCTCGTTCAGTGGTTTAAGAACGCGATACAATGGGGCACTTTGCACCTGGAAAACATATTTTCAAAGTATAAAAGTACATGTACATCAGTATAAATATAATTAAGTTCAAAAATGAACATTGAATGCATCAGTAACATATTCATTTTAACACACATTCCTAGAGTAGACAAGTTACATGTCCATTGTACATTAAATCCAATCATACAAAAATCATGGACATAAATTATAATTAACAATACTTTTCCACCTGCTCATTTAAATACCTCATATGTGTGAGTTCCATAATAATGTTACATGTATAAGATTCTTAATTACCAAACTTGAATATCATTTCTTACCAAGTCAGTATCAGCACAAAGCCCAGAGAGAACTGTTAAGGCCATGCATTTGTAAATATTGGCAGAACATTCCTCTGGCTGGGAATCTGCAATCATCAACATTTAATTACATGAATATTTCTCACTGTTTAAAGTACAGCAAAATGTCATACATTTAAAATGTTTTCCATATCCTCCCATCATCAAACATATTTATAAAAAGTCATTAAAATGAAGGTTTAAAATAAAAGGAACCAGATTAAAGTAAAAATACCGTTAAGGGTACTAAGCCCGATTTATATTTTAACTTCTTTTGCTCATTAAAGTGTACCAGAACATGTACCGGTACATGTGGAATTTAAACTGTTCTTTCTGACCATCATATAAGAAAATGGAACAATACTATACCCTGATAATTAATGTTAAGAGAAAATTTATAAGTATACATATGTACCTGATTTCAGAAGTCTGATGAGAAATGGCAATCCAATGGCATTAAAAATTCTCTTCTTTTCTTCTTTACTCATGTCTGAGCATCTTGTAGTTTTGGCTACCTAATTAATGAATTTATATATACTAAGTAATATAAACATCATCCAGTGAACAAAACTGAACATGTATATCCTGTATACATTTTGTAAAAAGTACTTTTCAACAAATGTAAAAGTTTCTCCTGGCAATGATATCCCTAAATCACAGTACACAAAGATAAGTTTAACTTTACAGTATCCATTAATGTTTATAATTACATGTAACTGCTCAAAATGTTAAGTTGAACAGAATTACCATCAACATGGCTGCAAACTTTTCATTGTCAGATGTTGCTTCCTGTAACTTGACTATGCATTTCTCCAAGTTTTTGTTCTCCATGGCTTTATTACTGCACACACAGAACCTAGCAACAAAAAACAGTATAGACTACAGTATATACAAGATTTACTTACATAAAAGGAAAGTTTAATTTCATGGCTTCAGACTGAAATGTTGCACAGTTCATAAGTAACACATGACTTCTAGCTATATATTTCTGTGACTGGCAGGTGAGAATTACTGGTACATCCAACAATATATCTGATGCCTACACCCCAATACTTTGAATTATTTGTTACAGTTTATATGCCTAACATTATCCTTTGAGAGAATAATCACTTAATGTCCTGACAGGTTTGTTACCGTCTTTGGTTACTGTAGATTCCTAAATATACGCGAGGAATTAATTATCGCGTAATTATGCGAGAAGAACCACTCACGAAATAAAATTACTTGCTTTAATATTTGTGGTACTGAAATCCATATAAAATATCTTAATCAAGCGCCCACTCGTGAAATATACTTCTCGCGATTTGTCATCTAAGGGCCATTTTGTGATATTTAGTACTCGTGTAAAATAAGGAATCTACAGTATATATTGGGTTGATCAATCTAACAGACAGCATGGCTTCACCTTAATGTCATTGAAATTGATCAAAAGGACATATTTCCATAGACAGTACAACAAACCTAATAAGTAATAATATAATCAAACTCATAATATGTTGACGGTGCGACTGTTGGGGCTAGCGCATTGTTACTTAATTTTAAGATCCGCCTCTTCAAACTGCACGAGACATTTGGAACGTCTAGACTGTGATGTCACATGATGTCGTATGTTAGCTGCATTTCCATAAAGGAAGTTTGAAAAGTGCAAAAATTTTAACAAAGAACGTTTAATCTACTACCTGTAAAACATATGCAATATCCACTAAATTAAGGTGAGTTCATTTTTTGTGAATTTTTAGTTGTTGTTACCGTGCGAACGAAGTTAGGAGTGAGAACAACAAGCGATACACTGTAGTTCCAGAATTGCTGTGGAAAAAATTCTACTGAATGAATGTGAAGTAGTCCAAATTTTCTCTTCGCCCAGGCATGTCATTAGAGCTTGCAGTGACGGGCGGCGCTTCGCGTCGCTTGCTGGGCTCGCTATAAATAATTTTTAAGATAATCACTAGCCAGTGTGAGTAAAATCTGCTGTTGGCAATTACATATTGAAAACCTGGTCACTTACATGGTGATAAGATATTTTTGGAACATAATCAAGTTTCAATTTTATCTACTATGTATTTTCAGTTTTGATGAAACATTCTATCAATCAAGTTGTGTTGCATGCAAAGCAGATATAGGTGACCTAGAACAAGCATATGGCAAGTAGAAATAATTATTTTGAGGAGTATCAGAGCAAATGATTAAGATTGTTCTCACAGAAATATTGTAACAATTGGCTATTGATGTCAGACACTTCATCTGGAATGGTTAGTTTCTGGTGTCAAATATATAATTCAACAGTAAGTCAGAATCAAACTTTGTCTCAGATCTTATTTCAAAAATTTGGCCATTTGAGTATCGCCATTCAAAAATCATGATATAGAAGGTATTTTTTTTTTAACTTTACAATAACTTTCTTTTCATCTTCAAGTTTACAATAACTTGTTAAATAAGATGGCATCCAAAAGCATGGTGGCTAATGAAACTTAAGAAACAGTATCAAAATTAGAAACTCATTTACTTCTAAAGTTATCAGGTAATCAAATTTTCATAATATTTTTTAATATCATATAAACATAGAGTTGTATCCTAGCTGTGCCAGTATATTTACTGATATATGTATCATATCGCAGAGTCAGTGCTCAAGCTTAGTTATATGGTTCACTCTACCATTGACCCCTCTGAAAGAAATACTTACTGAAGAATTTTTTACTTGCAAATAACCCATTCTGCATTAAATTTTGTAATCCAAAACATTTTGCTACTTTAAAAAATGAAACATATTATGTGATACACCTAGTTACCTTTGGCTTTTAGCTCAAAAAGACGGAAATCATTCGTTTGATTGAGTCAATGTTGTGCTATAAGATTAATGATACAGTAGCATGTTTTTGATAGTTTTGAGGAAATTCGAATAAGTAACGTATCATGATGCACGACTGTGGACGTCAAATCTTCACGATACCTGTCAAAGGTTTCTACCAGTACCTTTATCCAAAGGAACCTTTAGACAGACTAGACTTTCCGTCGAGCTGTCGCGTGTGTCCTCCTGTTGATGGCTGTTCAGAAACCCAGATAAAATCTGCAGCCACTAGGCCTACTCACGATTCGTATTCGATCGATACTTCTTAGCCTCCGAAAATTAAAGAGTTATACAAAGAAAGGTAACTCCGATTAACTGTACTTTCCAATCGTCTGTCAATCTGTCACAAAAAATTTAACCTTGGTCATAACTTTTTAATGAGAAGAGATAGGGCTTTTATATTTCACATGTATATTACCTTTGACAAGGCCTTTCCAAATATACTATGATTTTTGACCTTGACCTTAAAGTTTGCCTTTAAAAATGAAATCAAATCCAATTTATCCGTACTATATTACACGACCCCCCAAATTGCCAACAAAAGGGAGAAAATAAAATAGATAATTTACAAAAGCTTTTTAAACGAACAATTACATTTTTAGAAACTGTCTCTTAGAGCAAATGCTGAATTATTGTATGCATGTAGTTAGTTTACACTTAGTCTAGAATTCATAAATGAACACCTAAAAGAATGCATTTTTTAAAAAAAATCTATATTCCTCTGATTTTCTGTTATTTATTTATTTTTGTAATTTTTTTTTTCATTAATTTTATTATTTATTTATTAAAAAATATGCTCTCATGAAATTCTATGTAGTGACCAAACGATATCGAAGCATCACATTCAATTTTCACATTATGCAATCTTTGGCATTAAACTTTGTAAACTTTGCAATTATTGTTCCATTTTTTTTTCATTATTGATATATGAATATGTATTTATATTTTATGTATATTATAATCTAACTTTTGTATGAAGTATAAGAGGGTGATCTGGCCCTCTATACATGTTGCTAAGTGGTGTGTTGGACAGTACTTTAATTGTGTGTATTCCCCTTGCAACATACATGTATAATTATATCTATCTGTTCCATTACTGGTTCAAATATTGTTATATTATTTTTAAGTAAATATATTTTGCTATCCAATCTAGGGAGCCCCTGGCACCCATAGTGAGGGTTGTGACACGATTGCGGTGTTTTTCTTTGAAGTTTGCTGTTCTGTATATATTAGCAATACAGAACGGAAATACAGTGGGCGGAGCTACTTTCCGTTCTGTATTAGCCCTCTATCAGTTCTGTATCTAAAATACAGCACGGTCTAAAAATAAATATGATTCAATTTATCAGAAGCACGTACAAAAAGTAAATGCTGAAATTTCTCAATCACTTTTTAAAAAATTATTCCACACAGAATCTACACGTTATTTCGATCCAAACGAAAAGGAAAATTCGCAATTATGGAAAACATCCTATGTTGGAGAAATTCCTGAAAACCTGTTTGCTTTCCCTGCTTTTTGTGTCCCCTTCAAAATAGTAAAGCCAATGGGTTCGCGGATGCAGCATACATTACGTGAAATTCGCACTCCCCCTCCCCCCATTTTCCACTCTTCTCGTGCAAACTCAATCAAGTCCATTTTTCAGGGTTTTTTTTTAAATTTCATCTTAAATCCTTATCGCTGATGACTGCCGCACATCTCTTTCACTTCGTTTTTAATGTCACATTTCAATAAGAAAATAAAAATCCGTAACATCAAAGTCCATAGAAAAACTGTCTGTATCGCCTGTATGTGTATCTATAGTTAACTGAGATTTTAAGACCACTGAAATAAATTAGGATCAATCTCCATCTACAACAAGGTTAAATTGTCCACCTTATCAATGAAGACTGACTTCGAGTCTGTTACGTCTACCCCGTTGTCAAAACTAATCTGACTAAATCTTACGTTGTCCATGGAAATATATATACTGCGGATGTATACTCCCCGTCGAGGCCTCATCTACAGAAAGAATGAACTCTGGCGGAAGTTTGGATGCTGCACAGGTATGAAGTGGGCGGTGCTTTTTTTTTTATTGATCGTGTCACAAATCATTTAGAGAACTCGACAGGTTCAGTATCGTAGATACAAATTAGGGGGTGGAGACTCGTGCTACACACTCGTCCACCCCCAAATTTGTATCGTACCTGTCTCGTTCTCTAAATAATACATAACTTTTGAAAGAGAAAAGATAGGGCTTTTATATGACATGCATATTACTTGTGACAAGACCTTTCTAAACAAACCGTGATTTTTGACCCATGACCTTGACATTTGACCTACATTTCAAAAATGTTATCTTTGGCTATAATTTTTGATTGAGAAAAGATAGGGCTTTCATATTTGACATGTGCATTACCTGTGACAAAGCCTTTTCAAATATACTATAGTTTTGGACCCCGTGACCTTGAAGTTTGACCTACTTTAAAAAAAAAATTAACATTACTTTAAATTAGTCATAAAATTTGAATGAAAAAAAAGATAGAGCTTTCATATATGACATATGTACATTAACTGTGACAAGACCTTTCCAAAAATGCTATGGTTTTTGACCCTGTGACCTTGAAGTTTGAAATACCAGGTACTTTTCAAAAATTTTATCTTTTCCTTTTACTTTTGATTGAGAAAAGATAGGGCTTTCACATTTGACATGTGCATTACCTGTGACAAGATGTTTCTGAGCATGTTACCAATTTTGACCACTTGCCCTCGATCTTCCTGTTTGACCTAATTTTCAAAGATTTTATCTTTGGTGATAACTTTTGACTGGCATATAATAGGGCATTCATATTTGACAAGTGCAATACCTGTGTCAAAATGTTTTCAAATGTGCTATGATATTTAATTGACACCATTACCTTGACTTTTAAGTTTGACCTAATTTTCAAACATTTTATCAGTGTTACTAACTTTTGAAGGAGCGAAGATATGGCATTCATATTTGACATGTGCATTACCTGCGATATTCATTTCCAAATGTTCTATGATTTTTAACCCCATGACTTTGAAGTTTGACCTAATTTGAAAAAAAATTAACATTGCTGATACTTTTGAATGAGAGAAGATATGCCATTTACATTAAATTTTGACATGTGCATTACCTGTTTCAAGACCTTTCCCAATGTATAATCTTGTTTTTGATATTTTTTCACATGTGCATTACTTGTGTCAAGACTTTTCGGATTGTATTATGATATTTGACCTCATGACCTTGATCTCGAAGTTTGATGTACATGTAGCTTTGAGAAGCTTTTATCTTTTCCATAACTGTAAATAATTCAATAATTTAGAATCGGCTTGGCCAAGATCAGGTGCCCATGTTGGTTGCAGATTAACAAAAAAATGAAGTCAAATGAAATGTATTACAAGTATGTTCTATGTAACACTACATCCTTTTGGCAGATTGTCTGAAATTTCTGTCCATTTCTGTCAAGCGGTTAAAAAGATTTCACTCTTACTATAGCAGAAACCCAAGGAGCTACGGACTATACATATTCAGGCATAACATTCATCTTTATCATATTCAACTTAACAAAAAAAGTATAATTCAAATACAAACTCTTTACAAAATATTGTCTGAGGAAAACAAATCACATAATTCATTTCCATTTAAATGTTACCGTATATAAAGGACATGGGTAAGTTTGTTAATCTTTGAGAGTTTTTCTACTCTTAATATTTGGACATTTGAAATACAAATACATTAAAGTACTTTCAATTTTTCTAAATATACTGTATATGGAGATGAGAATTTCAAACTTATTTGGTAATACTCAGAGAAAAACTGTGTCAGATATTTTTTGATTGACTATTTTGAGACCTTGGGCTACGGACTATACATATGGTATTTTCATTTAATGAGAGACCATAGAAAAATAGTTGCTTTTTTCAGTAAATATTTGTTAAAATTATCATCTTGGAGTTCACATGTGTTTAATAAATCCTTTCATTTGGATATTAAATCAATTTATACAAAATCCTGTGAAATTTAACAAAATAAAACAAAAACTTTATATAAATTCACAATAAGAGTAAAATATAAATAGTCAGAAGAAAATAATACATGTCAGAATTACATGTAATTGGTGTTTGATAATAAAATATTGTTTAAAACCATCTAAAGACCAAGAATGAGCTTTAATTTCGCATCATAATTTACCATAGAAGGATAAATTTCATGTAAGCACGGTGGCTACGGACTATACCGTTAATCATTTCTATTGTGGACAATGAACTTAAAGAAAATATAATTGTTTAATTAAATTTTGGGCAATTTTTTTATTAATTGGTTTTCTATAACAGTTCACACCACTTAGTTTGAGTATTTATAATACCATACTTAAAATCAATTGTCTAATGTACTATGTACTTTCAATGCCAAATGAAATTCCAGTTCAACTAATTAAAGCATAATTGGTGTTCAAACTATAATGAATAAAAGCAACAGGAGCTGAAATTAAATCAATTTAAGGCATGATTTGTGTGTGGGGGGAGGGGTTACGGACTATATTCATTATTGCTTCATATTTTTTTTTCTTGATTTAATGTAATGCATATAACTCAAGATGGTCATTCAAAAGGTGTATCAGTATATAATTTATTATAATCATATAGTGTAAATAAAAAAAATAAATTGCAGAACATGATTGACCATTTGAAGTACCGGTAAAAAACATAATAGCTAGTACAATATTACCCATAAAGAATCAGTGTTTTTTTTTTTTAAATTAACAATTCAGTGATAAGTAGATTGGGTGGCGCAATTATAAGAGTCGAAGGCCTCACTTTGTACTAAATTGCAAAGTAAGGAGTTGATCCTTATGTTTTGGGATCAAATCCTACAATGGGATGTTAAGACTGGTCGATGAGAACTAATCAACCATTGAATCCCCATTTTGCTGTAGATACAAGTAGGAAAAAAAATCTCTTGCTAATACAGAAGTACGGTTATATGGTCTGTAAATTTGCTAAATTTATTTGTAGAGTCCGTAGCCCTTTTGTAAGTAGGATTTGTGTGGATAAATATTCTTTTAAAAATATTCCAATGCTAATCATTGTAAATGGATTGATAGTATGTATCACAAGAAGGAAAACTTTATCATGTATATTTAGAAATATGTTGTGACCACAAACATAACAGGGCAGACTACAGAAGCAAGCTTTTAGTTGAAAAATGTTAATTTTCAGATATTTTATTTTTAATTACAGTGGTATTTGTATTTAAAAACATTGCATTTGTTCGAATAAACATATTTTTGTATTGTAGTTATTGTATCAATAATGTATATGACTTTTTCTGGAAGTTATTATATTGGGGCTACGGACACCAATCATTCTTCTATAACTTCTTTTGGTGTTAGCGCAAAAGCTATTCATTACTGTTTTTTACTTTACTGGAAACTGTGAAAATATTAAACAAGAGCATGATTAATTCTACATTCTTTTGTTGAAAACAAACTATAATGAAATATGGGGCTACGGACTATACAAAATATTAGACCAGTATGGAAAATGAAATACAAAATGCGCACACATTTTACAATATAACCACTATATTATTCTCATAGTACTTTTTTTCTTAAGTTAAATAAAAATTTTTAAACAAATTATATTTGCTTGTTTTTGATAGAAATTTATGCATTTATTCAGACATTGATAAATCTTAAATTGTATAACAAAGGTATATCAGCACACATTTATTCATGATTTCCACAATTTTTATCCTTTTTCTTTTCTGTAAAAAATAAACTTAACCAGAATGATTTCTCTATAATAAAGTACATTTATTTTGGAATGTTTCATTCAAAATAATTTGTATTAACCATTATTTAAAATGTAAGAAATCAAGTGCAACAGCATAACGCTTCAAAAATTATGAATCTTTGACTGTATTCTGTTGTTTTTTCAAAAATGCAGATACTATATATATGATATTATATACCAATGGAAAGCTCTCATTCTGATCTTTGCAATGCAACAAAAGACATTTATATTATATGTAACTATAAAGAGTTACTTCTATATAACATCATTTAGTTGGAAATGGGCACCTGATCTTGGCCAAGCCGTCCCAAGTGAAAATTTTCTCAAACAAATTACTAACAAATTGCCTACAAATTGCCCAGAAATCACTTAAAAGTGATTTGTTTCAGTGATTTGTAAGCAATTCATTTAACAAATCATGAATGAATCATTTTCTACCAAAATGATGACTATGATTTGTTTACAATTTGTTACGAAAGAGTGATTTGTTTGTGATTTCTTTCACATTTCATACAATTTCTTAGTGATTTGTTAAACTTAGGAAATTGCTACAGTGATTTCTTCATGATCTGTTGAACTTAGACTTTCTTCAAGGTGATTTGAAAATGATTTCTAGAACTTGGTCTTTCTTCAGAGTGATTTGAAGATGATTTGTTAACTTTGTCTTTCTTCTGGATGATTTGTTAATGATTTGTTGAACTCATGGTCCTTCTTGAGAGTGATTTGATAATGATTTACTTCATTACTTCCGCTGCGCTTGCTGATTGGTCAGTTAAGAAACTCTACCGCCAATTTTCATTCATCAGATTTGAATTGAAATGATAGGAGCTAGATTGTGCCGTTCTAGATTCATACCTCTCTTCTTTTGTTGAAACTGATGTTCATGCCATAACCATGCAGCATATAGTTTTTAAGGTATGTATTATTGTATTATGCTATCATTTCCTCCTTAGAAATGACAATACTTCAGTTTATTACCATGATTACATGTTCTACCAACAACAAAGTCGCCGCCAATTAATGTATAAATAATCTATATAAAGCTATAAGCTTCAGCAAAGTGGCTTGTTCACAGTGTCTGTAGACAAATATTTATTTCAGAAAAAAAACATTTACCAACTTCTAAAACAACAATTAATGCCTATAATCTTCCAAATTTGGAACCAACTATATCTGAAGTACATGATGCCAATTACACCTATATAATCTTCCGAATTTGAAACCAACTATATCTGAAGTACATGATGCCATCTTAATGAGGATACATCCCAGTAAATGTGTATATTTTCAATGCACAGAATGAAAATGCTGTTGCCAAAAGTGTATTGTTAATTATAACAAATATGCATGTGTTTCAAGTGAATATTTGAGGGATGGTTGAGCATCATGCATACATTAGTGTGTATCCACCTGGAGTGATTTGATAGTGATTTGTTAAACTGAAGTGATTTGTACACAATTTATTTGAAATGATTTGTTTGCAATTTATTCAAAGTGATTTGGTTGTGATTTGTTAAACAGAAGTGATTTGTAAACAATTTATTCAGAGTGATTTGGTTGTGATTTGTTAGGTGATTTGCTTACAATTTGTTCAGAGTGATTTGTTAGCTCATTTGCATGGGAATTTGCATCACTTACAAATCATCTTCAAATCACTGATTCATTAGTGATTTCTTAAAGTGATTTGTTTGAGGATTTTTTTCACTTGGGGTTATGTCTTTTTGTAAGATGCATAGACAAGACAGGACACACAAACAAGAAAGTTAATTACAACATGCCATTATAAATAATGGCATCCCATCCACTAAGACACCAAAAGCCCGAGACCACAATTCTTTGAATTTGCTTGTTCAGAATAACAGTTTTTCGACATATTATATATTATCAGTTTAAACATAGACCTAAGGCAAATTTAGGTCTATGGGTTAAATAGATGTGATGCTGACATACATGGCATGAGTACTTTTGGGTGGTCGCAAAAAGGGGGGGGGGGGGCAAAGAGGAGAGGATGCCATTTTTTTTTTCAATTTCTTCGTATTTGTTAGTTTGTTGATGTTGTTTTTTTTTTATTTTGTTTGTTTGCATCTTTAAAATTTTGGCTATATTGAAAGCATAACAAAATCTTCCCTATGAAAAACTTAAAGCCTCTTCTAAATCCTTTCATATCTTAATTTGATAATTTTAAATAACACATATAATGCATTGGTGTTAGTATATTTTCAGATTAGATGTATGGATTTCAAAGAAATACTTTTCTTTGGAATTTATTTTTAAATTCTTTTGAAATTTAGCTAAACTTACCATGCTCGCTTCCGGCATATTCAATATACATGGCATGATGCAATTCAGACTTGTTCCACCTCAGTCGAGGTTCTTCATTATGATTTTGTCGGGGAACTGTAGCTTTGGGTTTTGATTTAGTATGCATGTGATTTCAACAATTTGTATATGTTAAAACAACATTTTTTTTTAATAAAGAAATGTTCGTTTTAAAAATTGTTACAAATCTATGGATAGTTTGGGTTTTAAAAGACTGTCGCATGCCAATATCTATACGTCCACGTCATTCCAAACTGTCCAACAGTGACGTAGACCATCAGAACAAGCATTAGCGGGGAATCACCAAATTTCATCTGTGAAAAACACTGCTTTCTACATTTGATTCTGAGGAGCTCAAGCCTGGCAAATTTTTTGAAATTAAAAGTCCTCAAAAATATTGAAAATAAATCCAATAATATCCTCAGCTGGAAAGAAAAGAAATATTCTGTCCTTGTATGGTGTTGCTAATACCTCCTCCTCCCCCCCCCCCCCCCCCCCCCCAATACACTTCACAAGAGAGTTTGGAAATTAACTGCTGTTGGTGTAAAAAAAATACCCTCATCATATTTTTAAAGAACAACTTCAACAAAAATACAACCTAATATTTATTGTTTCATAACAAGTAAAGTAAGTGAACAAAATGTATATTTCTTGATTATGAAGATAAAAAAAAATTACACTTACACAGTAACAAAAACACAAAAAGGCAAACATGTGCACCTTAGATACATTTTATCCTCTCATTCACAAAAATCACTCACACATATTTCTTATCACAATAAGGTAAAATTTAGGCATCGAAAAAAATTTCAAGTTTAAATCTTAAAATAATTAAAAAAATGTTCCTGTTTCTGCTTACAGTTTAACTTCAAACAAGTAAAACTTTACAAAACGCAACAAGCATGTCTGATTAAAAATTTAAAGTTTACAAAACTCCAGATTAATAGGCAGTTTCAGGTAAAGAAAGAATGTTACATGTATATACATGAAATGTTATTCATAAAACTAATCTTCTTTTTATGGTTTTGCTTTTACTTGCAGGATAATAAAATCGCCAAAAAATTATATATTTGAACAAATTTTAGCATAGAACAAAAATGAAATCAACTTGAAGAGGGCGGGGCAATAGAAGTTCCTGGCATTTCCATTCTCTTGATTTCATTGGTAATGGTAGTTAAATCCTGCATGAACATTTTTATCTGAAAGAGAGCATATAAAACATATACAAACAAATTTATATTTTCAATGGAAAAGAGTGGAACTCTTTAACTCGAGGATGGAGGAATGTATGTTGAAGTGTAGGTGTCTGATCTCTTTAAATCTCGCACAATGTCTGTTAGATCTTCCAAGAACATTTGAATCTGAAAAAGAAAAGAAGAATTTTAAGTTCTCTCTGAATTTCACAAATATATATAAATTGTATATGTGTGTTTTTGTCTTGTAAGGTATAGTTTGAACTTTCATATAAATAGAAACAAAATAGGAAAAACTTCTTTTGTTCACATATTAAAATACTTCCTATTTTAGAGCATGATATGCAAAGCTGCATGCAAAATTGCCTGAAAGGAACACATACATTCCATTTTCTAGCTCAGGCTTGTAAAATTAACCTAAGTACATATGTAAAAGTAAAAATATTCATCTAGGAATACTGTTTACTAGTATAGCAATCATGTTTTGGTTGAGACTGTAATTTTTCACTAATTTGTCCTATATATATACATGTACATGTACTACAGTGTATATGCATCAATACTGTTTTTGACTATTTATGTATAATGTTACTATTACAAGTACTAATAAAAAGTGAATGAAGGTCATATATTCAGCTTGTTTATAACCACATTTTTATGAAGGAATTACTAATATGATCTAGTTTTTTCTTGATACAATAAGGCAGAATTGCACACACTGTCATGCAAATGAATAAGCACTGTCACTACATGAAATCTCACCTGAAATAAATCTGAGAAATTGTGACGCCCCATTCTGGTCTGGAGTGTGGTCAGGAGAATTAATTAGTAAGTGAGGTTATGTGGGTGTTATATATATATTTCTCTGACAAAAAGCTGCACCACACTAGCTCAGACACAAAAACAACTACCAGAGGCTCAGAATGCATGTACACATGTGTATGTATTCCTTTAACAGTCTATTACATGACCACCTTTTTATTTATTTATTTTTTTATTCTATTCAAAGGAATGCATTTTTTTTTTACATTTAATCATTTAATCAAGTTCAACATGTTCTATTTGGTATAATTTTTTTTTTATAATAAATACTTTAGCCCCCCCCCCCCCCTCTTTCCATCAAAGCTAAAGTGTGTTGTATTCAGTTCACAGTGGGACAAGGTGGTCATCAGTATAAGGATAGCTGTTCATTCTTGAAATAAACTTTACTTTACCTTGAAAATTATTATCATCATACAGATGTGTAATTTTTACAAATAAATTATGTAGTATAAAAAATTAAAGATATAGGTTTTGTGTTAAATGAATTTGCAAATATAGTTTCTAGTGGGAGAAGTTAATGTTAAATATTCATTTGATACTGTGTACATAAAAAGCAGACATTTCCAAGCTGTAATGCTTTGAACCCATGTTGGTTTTTGTTGTTCTTATTTTTTTTTTAAGAATTGTAAAATTATAATTTATAATTTGATTAAATTATGGATAAAAAAATCTTCCCAAAAAGATACCATAATAAATAGCTTTTAAACCAAATGAATATTTTGATAATAATCAGTATTAGTTTTTAAAATTGAAATAAAAAAATCGAAGTTCAAAATGATAATTTTAGATCACATGGGTAATGCATTAATTCTTGCACATATTAATTCTATACAATGGCACATAAACACAGTAGGACATAATATAAGAACAGTAGTACAAACACAGCAGTGTTTTGTGAAAAGTGAATATTAGTAACCAATTATCACAATATGTCAATATTCTGGAACTCAATAACTGAAAGAAAAACTTGATATTAATACAACAAATATATATGTTAACAGATTTGAAGAATTATTAGCTGAAGAATATTAAAGCTTTTGACAGGATCTAATCATACAGAGACCTTTTACCTAATCAGAATGAAAACAAAAATTTACTAACATGTAATGCATAGATTCTTGAACTTCAATTGAAATGAGATATTGCATGTCATTTTTTAAAAAAAAAAGCAAAACAAAACTTGATAGAGCAACCTAATTAACATGTTGATTGGTAAAGTCAGTGCATATTGAAACTGGGTGAATTTTCATACGACAAGTAGAGATTAAGATTATTAATCAAAATGAAAGGAAATCTAACCAGATATTTTCAAATCATATTAAACAAAAAAATGTAGACTGAAACATTTTGATACTCTGAGAAGTTTACTTATATTATGAAAAATGGGAGATAGGATTTGAGCTTAAAAATTATAATTCTGTACAGGAAATTCAGGTTTAGTGAATTCAGATGTCATCTCAACGAAAAAAAATTGGGACAGATTTTGTGGATAATGGTCAAGTTTAATTATTAATTGAAATCATGACTTAATTAATAAACAATATAAATTATATCCAATGGTGAAAGACAATAGATTTTAGACACCAAACCCAAAAGAGGAATTTAAGTAGAGGAGTTAAAAGGGAGAATATGATTGGGTAAAAAACCAGGAAAGTGAGTTACACAACATAGATTTATGCATTGAAAGCTCCTTATTTTCCAGAGGAGGATCATTCAGATAAAAATCTGGGATTCAGACAATGAAAACCGCAATATGTAACCTTGGGCTGCTTACCTGGTTTAACTGTTCTGACGTTTCCTCGTCATCGGCAGATTGCTTCTGATGGCGTTTGACTAACTGGTACAAATTATGGGCAGCCCTGTATTTACATAGATTAGCTAAATTATATAAATTTGCTAAATAGCACAAACAGACAATCATTTAGAAATAAACTATTGGTTTAAATAGATTTTTTAAAATCTTGAATATATAGACGATTTGTGCATGAATGGGAGACAACTCTGGAAAATCTTCAATGTGTACATGTTCTGTGCATTCACCATAATGAATAGACATTCATAGTTGTTTTCTTTTAAATTTAAAATGCAAACTTTTGTCCCTCAAAGAACATGTTAATTATAGAATTTTTAATACTTTATCATTTTCTACAGTGGGGTCCTCTTCATACAAAAATCTTATACTTCAGTCACAATAATCACTCACATTTTGATTCTTCCAAGTTCAAGGGTTTTCTCTGCAGATGTATTCTTAATACGAGTCCATTCATTTTCCCACTTCACAGCCTCACTTTGGGCTGTATCTAACCTCGTTTGAAGTCCTGAGAGTTCATTGTTGAAAGAAAGAATTTCGTTGTCTTTATCCTGAAAACAATACATTCATTTCTGTATGAAAATTGTTCCAACTGCAACTCAAATTTTGTTAGCTTATAAGATTAACTAACATCATTAAATTGTCGTTTTAAAAAACATAAATCAGTAAAAAATTAATCCCTTTTAAATGCAAACAAACAAGATCATCACTTTAGTCTAAACAGCATTGAATGAATTGTATCATTACAATCGGAATAACTCTTTCCATACATGACAATGTCATAAATGTCAAATATCATATCCACAAACAAACCTCTATGTATTTTAATAGGCTCTGTCTCTGTTTTTCAATGATCTCCTGATTCTTTGTTTCTCTTTCCAACAAATCCTTTAAGCAGAGAAGGCTGATTATACAAACAACTGGGCAAAATATCTTTTTAAGATAATAGTTAATAGTACATATATTTACTATGAAATGTAATCTTTTTTTAGTAGCTTGTAAACCTACTAAAGCACTTGTTTTAAGATTTTTTTTTGTTATGTCAGTATGTTCTATAGATGACATTTTGGTCACAAACAAATGAACCAGGCAATAGGTCTCAGCAAAAACTTTGCTTATTTATTTATTGCGATATACTGTTTGATACTCTCATCTTTTATCATATTTGTAGCTGACCAAACACTTTTATGTTTTACAGAATTATTTTTTTTTAACTTTAACTAACCACTAACATATATTTACCTCATGAGTGGCTACAAGTGTATCGTGTCTGGCAATTATGTCTCTCATTTCATGAAATTCCTCTCCTGCCTCCAAAGCCTTTTCCATGTACTTGTGATAAATCTTGTATTTCTCTAATTTTGCTTGAAGTTTTTCTTTGGACTTCACAAGTTCTGCTCTTTCTTGTTTCAATCTGTTTTAAACATCATTGAACATGTAATGAATACTGACATACACTCACTGTAGTTAAAAGTCATTAGTCCAACTTCATTCACTTATGCATCACACGTTAATTGTGAGGTTAATAGTTGCATGTGAGTAGATTATAATCTGTTCATAAAAAATGGCATAATAAATAGGGCTGTCACAGTTACCCGAAATAACCGAGAACGCGGTCCAAGTTGTTCGGTTCGGTTTCGGTTCCATTTTTCTGGATTTCGGTTCGGGTCTGGTTTATATATTAGAGTCTGTTCAATACAAAAAATGGCGTCGAAATCAAAGGAATGATGACGATAACAGTGATAAACATCACAACTGAAATCTACTTCATTCCATGACAAAACACTTGTCACGGAAGTATTAGATAATTATCAAAATGAGCAGGAATGGTCAGGTTGTGGCTAATAGTAGGCCAAGTAGTTCTACACACCGATGTCTAGACATTCGCATAGTTAAGACTTGTTTTCAATGTAAATTTAATGTAACAAATAAAGATTTTTCAAGTTAAATTCTTGAAATTAAGGTTTAAAATAGATGTAAATAACCGAACCGAAAAACCTGAAACCGATCCGAAAATTTAAAGAACCGACCCGATCCCGAAAAATTTGGAACGGTGACAGCCCTAATAATAAAAGAGGTTTTTTCTTTCACCACAATAGAAATATGTTTTCATTTCCTTACTTTTCAATCTCTTTGTCTTTTTGCTTTTTGGATTCTCTTTCCTCCTCGGCTTTTTTCAGTGCTCTGGCCTTTTTGGAATCATTTTCCTACAATGAAACAACTGAAATATTGAAATTTGTTGTTGGAAAACTTTCGTAAGTACTTCTTAATGTTTCCAAATACATGGATAATTCTAAATTTATACATGACACTCCAAAGCTAAAATAATTCATATACAGGTATTAATTTTCAAGTAAAGAACAAACCTTTAAGAAATGATCAAACTTTAACAATGATTCCTTTAACTGACATTCTTTTCTCTCGAGTTCTTCTCTTCTCTGCTGCAAACTTTCCATTTTCATTTGGAATTCCTGACAAAAAAAAAATAAAGTTTTTATCAACCAAAATGCTTATTCAATCATACAGCTACATTTAAAGCAAAACAAACGTACAAAATGGAATAATTTTTTTTTACATAACCACAGAATAAATAATCTGAACATTGTTTTAACTAATTTGATTACAGTGTGCATTGAAAAGTTAACACAACCAGTAAAAAATGTCATTGGCTTTGTATAAATTAGGTCAACATTAGCTCATTGGACATCTAGTGAGGATCGATTGACTGATATTACCGTGGTAAATTCATTATATTTACATGTATCTGTTATTAAAAAAACCATAAAAAAATATAAGTATGAGACAATTCAGTGTTATTTTTGTTTTTCTCCATCTCTCATTCTTTTGAGTATTGTGCACATACTACATTGTCACTTGCTAAATGTTTCTAATCCACTCCACTCCCCACAAACAAAAGATTTTTTTCTTGATGTGTGCATCAAGTTTATTGATATCGTTCAACCAGTCAGCAAATGTACCGCAAAACTATAGCCAATAACAATATCTCTGTGATTTTTCTGGACTCTGCTGTCTAGTGAATGAAATGCTGAAGTATACAATGATAAGTAAGATACACAGACCAATCTATATAAAATAGTGGTGGCATTATCCAACTTCAAGTTGTTGTACATTTAACAAAATCTTGTATCTAACTTGCAGGTGTAAACTTGCAACCTAATTCACAAAACCTTATTTTGGACTACATTTTAAATGCATCAATTTTTAAAAAGCCTCTATATATATTTGTCAATGATGCAAGCTGTCTGTTTTGAGGTAAGTCCTTAGATCATATGATGTCTTCATGTGATCAAAGGGCTTGATGTACCAGTAAACAATCCTGACTTTTGAAAGCAATACAGGCAAAGGGTTTTTTGTGAGGAGTGGAGCAGATCAGAAACATCTGGTTAGCAAAGATAATTATTAGGGAAAATGAAAAAAAAGTCAATGAGCTAGTTTTGAAGAAAATGGAACCACCTGTAATAGATAATATCTGAAAACTATTCAATTATTTTGTGATTTGACATACAATGTATACAAACCTCTTTTTGAGCAGCCAAAGCCTGTTCAACTTCTTGCATTTCTCTTCTTTTCTCGAGAAGCCTTGTTGCAGGGGTAAGATGATCATCCTCCCTTTCAGGCATTTTACTATTTAAAAAAAGAACAGATTTCACTCATCTTTGTACCTGGTACATGTAATTGCATCATTAAATGTCTCCTAAATTGTTTTAGACTTCTTAAATTTATGTACCTTTGATCCAAAATAATGCAAGTATAAAATGAGCTATATCATATATTGATTTTATAATTGATTTGTATTCCTAATTTTCCCTTTCCGTTACAATGAAATTGTCATAGATTAATCAGTTAATTTGAGAAAAGATGTTGGCTTTGAGGAATTTTGGAATGACATTTTTTCGTTAGGGAGATCAATGAAATGGCATGGATTCCACAAATGTTAGTTATACCAATAATTTATGTAGCTAAACAAAGAAATTACGAAAAGAAAGAAAGGCAAACCCTGCTTGACAGATGCATTGTAGTTAAGTGATGGGCAACGTGTAGGTGATGCATAAACAGAATAAACAGACTAGAGTACGCCCCATAATAGTGTTGCAATTAAGAAACTTAAAAAAATATATATCTAAATGATATTACTGTTTACTAATTCGACACTGCTGGAAAAATAAAATTATTACGACTCGCATTGGAGGAAATTCGAACTCGTGCAATATGTTCACACATTGAATTTATACTTACACGAGGAGTTTATCCTCAAAGGTTGTTCGGAAATATTCTTCTAAATTAACTGTCATCTTGATTGGTTTTCTGATATGTCTACTTCATAAAAAGAAAATCTGTAGATCTTTTGATTCACTCTTCTATATTTTGAATTTTGTTTACAACCATAGGCGCCATTAGCAAACTGAATTGGTTGTTATGGATAGGGTGAGTCTAATACCAGTGAAGGATCAATATGGATGAACGAAAATCCCAAAAATGTAGATATATTTTCAAGGATAGCCACTACTGTAAAATAGGGAAAATATTCATATTTTAAAAATTCAATTGCTCCAAAATTATATAGCTGAAATTATTTTATTGTTAGGAATATCAAATGAGTAAAAAGATTTGCAGAAACATATAACCTCGGCGATATTCATGCAATTTTGACTCGGAGAAATGTTAGTAAAATAAAAAAAAACAACAAAAAACCCTATATTTCAGAGAAAAAATCTAAACAAAATGTCAATATGATTAAAAAAAAATAAAATAAAGTTATAATATCTTCCACGAATAAGAAAAGATCTTTTCGGGTATTTATTACTCGAACAGGGCTTGTAGGGGAAAAAAGAGGAAAAAAAGTTATTCAAACAAATCTAACAAAATAACAAATTTTGTTTGTTTGTTTTTTTTAATGTAGAAATATTAAAAGAAATATTTCCACACTTGAATATCTGTCAAATTGATTTGACCTTCACTTTCGTTTTCATAGCGAGGCAATGGAAACATGAACACTCCGGTCATGGCTAGGCTATTGAAAAGTATAGGAGTTTGTGGAAAGTATGCTCGCACAAAACAGCTATGCGAAGCATCATTCATTTCACACAGGTATAAAAATACGCATGTTTATTTTCAAGTCGAATTTTGTCAAGAGCAGTGTCAAAGTAACATAACAAATAACGCAATGTCATTTGCTGATACAAGGCTTTATTTTCCTATACTATAGACAAGATGAATCCGGTTTAAAAATGTAATTTAAATGTAATGATAGTCCGTCAGACTAGCAGAACGAAAAAAATCCTCGTCAATTAAAGAATTTACTTTCGTTTTTCTATGTAGACTGGTTTCTTTTGAATGAGAACTGCATTGTAGTTTGATTTGTTTCTGTCACCACAGTGTTTGAAACCTTAATTTAACTTGTTACGTTTTCATTTGCATAAAAAAATATGGGCTAGTTAGTTTGAGGTTTGGGCTAGTAATTTTTTACTGACCAGCCCCTGGGCTAGTGGGTTTTCCAGGAAAATTTCAACCCATACACCCTACAGCATGATTTTGTCTCCAATGCTGTTACAATGTTGTACATTAGAAGGGTTGGTTGAGGAAGCCTATGCATGACATTTATTTTCCGTGTTTATATTAGTATATTGAAATGCATGTAACTAAAAACTGAAGTGAGAAAGACTGTTGTTGTGTGTTAATTTACATTTATGAAGATCTCTCATTTTCTGTGTTTATATTAGTATATTGAAATGCATGTAACTAAAAAATGAAGTGAGAAAGACTGTTGTTGTGTGTTAATTTACATTTATGAAGATCTCTCATTTTGAAGGGTAAAAGAAAGAACAATTTATAACAAACTATGCTTAAAATTGTAGATGCCTTTCGACATCAGCAGTCTTACAGGATGATGACAGTCATAAGAAATCCTTTGGGATGAAACAGATACAGTTTATCAAGTCCATATTTGACAAGTCGGACTTTGGACCCTATGAAATTCAAAAAGAATCTCATTCAAGCCAACTTTCAGACAAAGAGACTGTGTATGAAATTCAGCGTAAGTTTTTTTGTATCCTTCATGACACATTGCAGTTCTTTATATTTTCAAGCCATTTTCATGAAATGGATGATTATGTTTAAAGCTAAAACATGCATTCCAATCATTTGCTACAAAGTCAAATTGATTTATTTTTTGTCATGCTGAACATAACATAAATATCTATTTTGAACTGTTATTTATTTTTTAGTTCATGCAGTAAAGCCTGAAAGTATGGAGGAATATTTGAAACAATTGTAAGTTTTTAATGCAAAAGAAATTTATATATATCTTTACTTTAGGCACATACAATCACTTTTTAATTGTGATATGATTTGATATATTGAAGAGAAGGAATCATGAAAAAAACCTAAACAACTTAATTCATTCAAAATTACTGTTACATGCATAACTCTATATGGATAATAGGATATTTACTTTTTATCCCATGTTTACCCCTTTATCCCGTGGATATGACTCATTGGATAATTTTTTCATATTCCACAGTTAAGTGCAGTTGTGACGTCACAATGATTTTTGCGTTAGAGTGATGAAGTAAAATGAAGTGGAGTCCTGTATAAAACGGTGTAAAACATTCGTTTTGAAGTATTAAACATGGGATAAAAAGAATCTCCCATGATTTGTAGTTGGATATGACTTTTATCCAACTCGTTGTGTGTTTTTATCCCCTCGCCAAGGCTGGGGGATAAAAAACACACAACTCGTTGGATAAAAATCATATCCAACTACAAATCATGGGAGATCCTATATTTACTTTATGCATGTGTGGATCTAGAGGTTAAAGGGGGAGGAGGGTGTCAGCCCCCCCCCCCCCCAAAAAAAATAGTAAAGAGAGTCATGTATCCAAAGAATATTGACTTAGGTAAGTATCTTTTCCTACCTTCCCACATGAAATAGGGTTTTTGAGGTTTGGGCAAGTTGTTTAGGTGTTTTTTTCTAAGTCTTAAATTTGTTAAAGTTGATGTGGACCCCCCCTCCCCCGAGGTAGACAGACATCTCGGCCCAACAACACCTCGGCCTGTCACACCTGACATCTCGGCCCTGACAGGTTGGCCCAAGATTGTTGACACGTCGGCCCATATAAAGGACACCTTGGCCCAAGCAAAATTTTATGATGGAAAAAATTAACAAATTAACCCAGCGTTTGAATTGATATTATTATTGGTGTAATTATTCTTTCTGACGATTAAACTGTTTTTTAAAATAAAACAGGGGGGGGGGGGGGGTCTGTGATAGATAATTGTTTTATTTTTCCAACTTAATTAGATCAGTCTTTCATTTACATCTATGTCTTGTGGAAAATGTAATTTTTTTCTGCAATATCCTGGCTGGGATTGTTATTCTTGTAGTAACAAAAAAGGGGGGATAGAAAAAAGAAAGAAAGAAAAAAAATGAAAGTCATTTTATTGTTTATATAGATCTATGTCTATATAAATTATTGTATAAAGATATATGCTTAAACACGTAAAATAAATTGCATCATTGGTCTGTACTTCATGGTATGTTTCTTTTCTTTCTTTCTTTTTTGAAAAGCACATGCATGTACTTGCTTTGTAATTAACCCCCTGTTGTCACTACTGAATATAACACGCACTTGACCCTCCAAAGGATGCGCCACGGCATTTTGTTTGTTTATCAATTAGCACTTTAATTAATAGCATTGTCTTCTCATTCCTTGAATATTGTGGATGGTCTTTTTTCTTTCTTTTTTTTTTAAATCTTGATTGTTTATTCATGTACATGTACTTTTTTCAATCAGTATTTTTTCATAGTAAAATTTTGCTTGGGCTGAGGTGTCTTATGTATGGGCCGACCTGTCTTTAATCTTGGGCCGACCCGTCTGAGCCGAGATGTCAATGGGCCGAAATGTCAATGGGCCGAGATGTCTTACATTCTCCCCCGACCCCACCCTGGAAAAATTTCCTGGATCCACACATACATGTATTATGTACTATATGAGAAAGATGCGTATCATTTTTAGAGATCCATGTGAACATACACTCTATATTACATTGTACAATACATTTACATGTATATATCTGTATGTTGTCAAAGTTTGAATGTTTTATTAAATAGCTCTCAATTTCAAGAACTGATGCATGTTAAGAAAACAGGTGCCCATTTGGTTGGAAGTTTTACAGTGGAAATCGGAGATCAAGACGAAGCAAGTAAGTGTAAAGTACATGTACAAAACATATCTCTTCACTTAAGATAAGACAAAGTAGTGATTATTAAAATAGAACTTTAACACAACCTTTGTTTGATTGATTTCTTTGCTGTCCCGAATTTGTACTGTCATAACATAGAAGAGTAGGTTCAGATGTCGGTGCTACCAATGTTATATTATTTCAGTTCATATTTGGGAATACAAAGGAGGGTATCCGGTTTTAAATAATGCCACAGAAATCTACAGGACTGACCAGGTAACCCTAACGAAACCAGTGAGGGTCAAGGTTTTTATGCCATAGTTGTCTGGATTTATTTATTTATTTTTTTTTATAAGATGCCATTAATATTTGTCTATTTCCAGCTCAACAAAAGCAAGTATTTCTTGGTCCTGATGGAATGTTGACTTAATTCTCAATCACAATTCACATAGCAAATAGATTCTTTGTTGAATATAATGTATGAGTTCCATCACATTTTACTGATAAATCGTAAATATTCTGTCTTAATCATTACATGTATTATAAGATTCTAGCTCTTACACAGACTCTTGTAGACACTGCATATGTGTATCAAAAAAAGGAAAGAATATTTAATGTCTTTGAAGTGAGACCACATTATATATGTACTTCTACAAAACAATGCATATTTATTTTCATTAAATACATGTTTAAATGCATCAAAAGACTGCCAAAATAAAAGAAAAAAATTAGAGGATTGAGATATACTCAGTATGTACTTTGTGACAGGTATTCATTGATATGTACATGTATATTAATAAAAGAGAAGTGTTTTTGGAGGGTTAATTTTCAGCTATGTGTTGATTTTATCCTTTTTTTTTTGAATACAGGATTTTATTAACTTTCGAATCAGCAGAAATAAAATGCTTCGCCACAGAAAGAATCAGATTCTCCTACCTTTTAATTTCTGGCCTGCCCCAGTACCAAGAGAAGGAAGGAATATCTATGAAATGAGAAGTTACACACTAAAGGTAAAATTAATTGGAAAAAATACATACTGTAGTTCCTGATAAATCCAGAATTTAAAAAGGGTAAGAACATGATCGGACATATGGAATATGATAGTAAAAATTTTCTCATTGTTTTCGTAATATGTCGATTCAAAGAAAAAATATTTACATGATAATTAAGGTGCAATGATACTCTGATAAGAGAAGTAACTCTCACTGGGATAAATGACTTTCATCGCTTTATAAAAATGTTGAGATAAAAGGCCATTTCTACCAATTTCTTTTTGCAAGGTATGCTGAAATTGAAATTTTGAGCCTTACACATTGATTTCTTTTAGAAAATCATGAGTTTTCAAGCAAAATTTTGTATGACTTAGCAGAGGGGTGATGAACCTTAGGCATTGTTTTGTTATACATGGTTTGTAATATGTGGTATTAAAATGTAAGCTTTGTAAATCTTTTGTCTTCTGAAATTATTGGAAATCTTTCCATTTCAGCCTGGTTCGATGATAGAGTGGTCAAATTGCTGGTAAGACAAGATTATTTAAAAGTAAAAATTTATTCAACAATTTCAAATTTAAATTTAGTACATATTTTCATAGCTTGAAAGAGAAGGGATAATGGTTAAAAAGTAATGGAGAATTTTCTTGAAGGGCGAAAGGTTTACGGTATCGGCAAGAAAATGAAGTTGCAGTCTGCGGACTGTTTGCCGATCTAGGTGACTTATTCACAGTGCATCACATATGGGGTAAGTGTATTGACCAGAGGACACCCATATAGACCCATTTGTAATGGAATAGTCTGTTGTTTTGTACTGTGATGAACCTCTCTCTCTTCCAACAACTCTATGCTGATATGAATTGAAAATACTCTCTACTTTTGTAAATTGAAAGTTGTGTATTTGAGCATGAATGCTGCAATTTTATAATTTTTTGTTTTGTTTACTAATAGTTTGCCATTACATGTAACTGTTTTAGGATATTTTTTTTTAAATTTTGCATTTGTTATTTTTTTCTTTCAATTAGAAAAGACATGTATGTCCAGAGGCCCAGGGGCTTTATCACTCACAAATTAACACTTATTTTCATTAACAAGTACAGGTGCATCTCAATGGCCCAAACTTAGATCTTAGAGTTCATGATCTTTCTTGAAGTGAAACTCCAGTACCGATTTTTTTCTCCTTTATAACTTAACAATTTTACTCTTGAATTCTCAAAATCTCAATCTCTCGAAACCCTTCATCTCTCAAAGTAAAAATGCAGCCCTGTAATGCATATTCTATAGTAATTAACCCTTGATACCTCGAAGTGGATTTTTGTACATAAGCATGACCTAGACAATAGCTCAGGGCATAGATGCTCAACCCACGTACAAGTGTCTCTGCAAGGGGATCACAAGGCAACAATATTTATCACGTGTATTCTGTTCTGACAAAGAAAAACAAAACCATTGATTTCAAACTAAACACAAATTTTCAACAAAATGAATCTGTAGTTATTGCTATCTGTATCTTTGTTATTTCTTATCTTGTGGAACTTTGACCTCCAAAGTGGCTCTACCCAAATCCTAAAAGACCATGATATATGTTATAATTGGGAAAAAATTAACATTTTTTGAATTTATTGAATACTCCTTTCTAACCCCCCTCCCCTTTTGTTGGCAAAGTACTAGTTTTTGTGGTCTCAATTGAAGAAAAAATATATACTATGTAAGGAAGCTGTAAAACAATTTTTGGGGGTGGAGGATGGGAAGTGTTAAAGTGCTTCTTGAGGAGAATTTTTTAAATGACCCTACCTATTTTTACCATTTATTATCCCCAGGTATTCGTCTTCCCTTGGAAGGAGGCATTACCCTTCATTTTAACAAGCTTGAATCCCCTTTAACCAAAGATGCTTTGTGCATAGTTTGTTTGATATTGTATATCGTACCCTGTAGTTCTGAAGATTGATTGTAAGTTGTTTTATGTCCCATTCGAGAATTTTTCACTCATATAGAGATGTCACCATATTCCGGTGAAGGACTTCAAATTTTGACCTTTACTCGGCACTCATGGCCATTGAGCAGTGAGGGATCTTTATTGTGCCAACCCCTGCCGTGACACGGGGCCTCGGTTTTCAAAGTGTCATCCGAAGGACCCTAGTTCTGAAGAAGAAATTATTTGAAGAAATTATTCAAAGTAAAAATGTACATAACAGACAGACTGTAACTAAAATGACAGACAGAAGTACAGATTTTGAACAGAAAAGATAACTTGAGTTTTAAGCTCAGATGAGCTGATAAAAAAGTTTTTAATTTGCAAGCAAACATGAAATTAAATTACAAATTTGTAAATAATTCAACTTCACTACTTTAGTAATCATATTAGCTTGCTACAATGATGTTGTATTTTATATTTTTTGGTAGAATTATGTATAATTTAGAGCTCTTTAATAAAACTTTTTTCAGCATAATAACTTTATTTATCAAAAACTTAGAAATCTAATAAATCTATAATTATAATCTATAATTATACCTTGAACAACACCTTGAACATTTGCACAACTGATTTTAAAAATAAAATTTGTCAGAATCTTGTGACCCATTCCTCATAATTGTCAAATCGTGGTCAGCTCTTACCCCACCATGCACTGTGCATTTGTCAACACAATTGAATTAACACAAGTCATTAAAATTTCATCTTGACATTGGGGTACATATATGAAAAGATAAAAAAGGCTTAAAACCATTCCATAATGTTGAAAAACACTACAACACTGATACAGTTGTATGTGTATTTCTAGTGTCGCACATCCTGTTGTCAACTTCGTTGAGGAAAGTCAAAGGGAACATACATGTACATTTAGATAACCTGAACCTTTCATGTTTAGTTTAAAGATGCATAACACTTTATATATACATGTATACTAGTGCTTTAAGAAATTCCTTTGTCTTGTTCGTGAAGGAGAAGAGGTATAGAACACAGACGAAATAACAATGAACCAGTGGCTGGATTTTTTACCCATATAGGAGAGCAAAATGTTGTACATCATCTATGGGGTATGTCTTAAAGCACCAGAATCATAATGCCTGGATAGGTGACAGACAGGATCAGGGAACTTTTATTAACACTTTTCAGTCCAAATCCCCTTACCCTCCCCCTCCTCCTTTCCACAATTCAGAGATGTGTACAGTATGTAAAGATCATATAATTCTTTTTACTGTATACAGGGTTATTTTCGCCCCGTGTTATTTTTGCCCTTTCACACTTGCAAACAATTCTGCCCCATTTTAAAATTTGCCCAGTCATGGTTCTGTTTAAGAAATTATATTGTGTTCTTTGACTTCGCTCCTTCTTAAATTCAACCACCAGTGAGTAAGACGAAAGGGACGAAAATAAAACAGGGACGAAAATTTCCCTGTATACAGTATTTGGTAACAAACATAAAGAAAATTTGAATTCTTTTTTTATTCACAATCACAATTTAACATTTTTCATCAAGAGATAATTAAACTTTTCTCTTTTTCTATTGCAATTATTCTGACATGATATTATACATGTATATAGATTATTAGATTATTTATATTATAATATGTGGAATGGTATCTCTTTATATCATTATACAATAATTATAGTTATCACTCGCTGACCTGAAAACTTGCTTTAATGATATAGATGGAAGTCTTGTACATGAAACTTAACCAGTATAATAATGTACAATATATATATATATATATATATATATATATATATATATATATATATATATATATATATATATGTAATAACTATAAACAGGTATTTACATGTGTACAGCATAAATGTATGCTTTTCAACTGTCTTATGTATAAATTCCACAGAATTCTGTTCTTTCAACATATATCCAATAAACATGTTTAATGAACCAACAAATGCTTTTTTTCCTTTATTGTATAAAAAAAAAGCTTATTTTATATTATTTTGAGATATACACAGTTCATACATGTATCTTAATACATTTTATTTTAACAACTTCCATGAAAAAAAAAGAATCTTGGTAGCTAATGTGATATCAAAATAATTCAATTTTCCCAAAAAATCAAGCTAAAACATTAGGACTTTAAATACCGGTAGATTAATATACATATGCATTTATCAGTGGTCTCTCTTTTTTTTTTTTTTTATTTAAACAGGTTATAAAGATCTACAGACAAGAAAGGAAACTAGAGCAATGGCCTGGAGCAAACCAGGATGGGATGAATGTGTAGCCTATACAGGTTAGAAAAATGTCCTCCAGCCTAATATTTCTTCTGCAAATGAAAACTATGGTCACCATATTTTGCCTCGGAATATCATGCATACATGGTGTACATGGCTGTATGATTTTCTTACATGTAATCATTTTTTTTCCTTAGTACCTCTTATCCGTCACATGGAGTCGAGGATTTTGATACCCACCCCTTTCTCTCCAGTACAGTAACGGAAGCCACCATTGCTGTAGTCCTACAAAGTGCTGAGATATCATTGAGTGCTGTATACAAATCAGTTAATATTATACTAAAAAATTTAGAATTTTAAAGTGAAAGTAAAAGCAAAATAAAGTGTTATTTTATGCTCTAGTCATCCACTCCCTTTTCTGTTAATCATGAAAAAAATAATTATATGTATTGACATTTTGTGCGATATATTGAATGAAATTGAGTTTAAATAGTGTTATATTGTTGGGTGCATATTAAATGTTCATAGGACTGATTATGGTATACACTACTTATGTATAGTTTTCTAATTGTTGGTGCATACATAAACTTGTGAATGGTTGTATAATTGCACTGTAATGTTAAAACCAAAGTTTCATCAACATTTGTGGAAAATATTCCTTTGCAATATAAAGTGCCAGAGTATTTTTATGATAAACTAACATTTTCTATGAACAGTGTCTACAGTAGTTTTTTAAATGGACTGTATACTGATTCCTTAGAAATCTCTACCTTTGTACTACCTTAATAGTCATAATATATTTGTTAAAATGAAGTGTGCTGATGCAGCAATGCTATTTTGTGATTAGATTATCAACAATAAAATGGGTTATGTACAACATGACATTTACTGTTTTCAATCTTCTTTAAAAAGAGAGAAGCAGTTAGACATGAGTCATTGAGGTATTAACTACAACAATTGTTAAGTTTTGTAGGGATGTGCAGTAAATTTGCTTCAGTGTGTGTCGATTGGAAACACTGGAAATCATACTAGTTTGCCTGAGGATAGGCAGTGCTCTTGAAGCAATGACATTGACAAAATGTCAGGCCCATAGGCCTTGACAGTTACTTGAGTATTGTGCCCCCCCCCCCCCCCCCCCCACACACACACACACACTATATAGGACAGTAGCTTTTATGACAGTAAACAAAAACTCGTGATTTTTTTTTCAATTAACTTTGACTTTTTTCAGGGTAATCAAATTTAGACCTGTTCATGAAGAAAAAATTTATTTTAGTGGTATTTAAAAATATTCACACACAAATCAATGTTTTCCAACAAATAATAATCAATTTAAGTTTGTCAAAAAAACTAGCCAGTTTATCTACAAAATTGAAGTTGTCATTAGGCCTTAATTTGACTAGACAGCTGATAGCTTCTTCTTTTACTTTGATCTATGGAATGTTCACACATTTTCCTTGGTTTGACTCTTTGTTAAGAGCCAGTCTCGATTTTAGAAACCCATGCAAAACAAAAAACAAATGGGAAGTTGCAACTTAAAAGTTGTTAAAGCTTTTTCATATTTGGATATTTTGCAAGAAAGAGTTAATGGTAACTTAACAATAAAAATGACAAACGTGATGACTTCAACATTTCTGTTGTCAACTTCCCTTAGTTATGTAGCTGTATACTCGTACTGTAGTGAGTATCCTTATCACCTGCATATGAAGTTTATGTCTCCCAGTTGATTCGATACTCAAGAGCATGCTCTACGTACAAACAATTTCTAAAATGAGGCAAACTATTGCCAAACAAGTTAATGAAACAAGTCTTGTCAACAGTCTTGTTTAAAGTCAAGATTTTGGAAGTTCTACACAATGACCTTGTCAGTAAATACAATCTGTTATTAATTTGAATGATGACTGTTTTTTTTATTCTAATTGTTAGGCAAATATTTACACACTGAATTGTCTAAGGATTTTTCTGTTTGCCCAATCATAAGTAGCACATGAAGGATGTGCCCTGTTGACAGGGGATGCTTACTCCTCCATGGCACCTGATCCTACCTCTGATGTTTTTAGAAGCCTGTGTTTGCCCTGCTCCCGATTTGTATTGTTTCAATGGACTTTGGAGCTGGGTTTGATTACTTTTCCTTGTCTCCATATTTCATCTAGAACTTGTTTACATGTGCTTAATGTAGTTTCAGTTTGTTTTCTACAAGTAATCTTTTCATGCCTCAAATGACTGTGACTCAAAGTCATATTACAGAAGAAACTAACACTTGGTACTTAAGTTAACTGAGTTTCAAGTTTTCCAATAACAAAGTAATGGCTGGGACAGAAATTACACTTTTGTTTTGCATTTAACTTGAACTGATCCAAAAGTTATTTACAAAGGTCATCAACATAGGAAAACCCAGAAGTAGAGCAGGGTCTTCTATTGTGGTCTGCAAACAATTATTTCAAGATCTTTTTTTTTTTTTTTTACATACATGTATCTGCCCCATCAAAATCAGAGGAAATTTAGCAGCCAATCTGTTCACCATGTCACATACATACAATGTATTCATTAGATGTGAGCATTTAGTATTGATCAATGTTACATATTAATTTAGATCAAAGTCTTGGACATGTTCTTTGAATGCACTAATGTGATCAATAAAATCAATTTATTGATAAATTTTTTTTTTCAGTAGCATTTCCAAGAGCAAATCTAAGCCTTGAAATTGGTAAAATCTGTATACATTGTACCGGTAATTACCAAAATTTGTGGAATTTCCTTAGTTACAGAAAATTCAGGATTAAAGTGTGTGTCCTGGAAATCAAAACCACTGTTTTATAAAGAAACCAGATTCTATGACTTGAACAATTTGAAAAATTTCAACAACCTCAATAAAAATTTAATCTACATGTATATTGTTTTTCTGCAATTTAATATTAAATGACATTTTTTTATACATACAAATACATGTATTTGAAATGTGTGATACATTCAAAAGTAAATGTATGATCTAAAACATATTTTACTAATAAAACCAATTTCAAATGGTCACTGAGGTTTTGAATTAAGATCATGTCTTGTTAAGAAAATGGCTTTTTGTTGACAGTCAGCCCAAATCCGCAGTGTTTAAACTGTTGCTACATAAATGATTCCACCACAAGGTATTGCTTCATTATTTCTGTTAGATTACCTGCTCAGTTTCAAAGTAAGTGTATAATATCCCAGGATTCAGGATATTTTTGTTAAATTAGTTCTTAAATTAAATGCTCAAGTCCAACATATCTCATGTTTCCATTTTTTTAACCTTGGGAAGCTTTAGGGAGGGTGTAAAGTCTCTTTGTAGCAATGGGTGAACCTAAAAACAGAGAGAGTTATTAAGTTTTACATGTCTGTCTGTAAATGCAAGATTTATCAGAGATCCTAGAGATGAAATTCACCAGAAAGAAAATGAATACAGTTGGAAAAAAAACCCTGTGGAGAAAAACAGTCCAATCATTATGAAAATACATGTACCAGGTGCACATCTTTATATGGTGACTAATGTGTGTTCAAATTTTCAGACAAATCTGTTCAGTAGTTTCCAGGAACATGTGCCTTGTTACTTGCACAGAGGTGTTTATAATAACCACCTCATAGAGTAAGGATTTTTTAATCAGTATTTCTGCCTTAAAAGAGGTTAAGTTTAAAAAAAAAATTGAGAACTTTTCTTCACTGAAAAAATTGTGTGTGTGTGTCAAGTATTGTTAAAACTGGTCTAAAAGATTTAGAGAAAACCTATAAAATATCAAAGGCATACTTCTGAGCTTTCCTGGCAAGCCTTCAATTTTTCTAAATCCTCTTGAAGTTGGTCACATGCACTGTTAATGTAAAGAAGTGACAATTAACGAGGGTTGAGATCATTTTACTAAGAAACAAAATTCCCTTTAGCAAAATTTCTGGAATTTTTAGCAATTTCTATGTTAATTTTTGTTTAGATATAGACACATTTTCACTAGCAAGTTTCTCAGCAATTTTTGTACACTAAAATAATTGAAGACTTTACAGTAGTATAGGAACACATCATAACCATGATGGCATGGAATTTTTTCCATACATACATGCCTGGAGCATTATGGTCCAAAAAATGTTTTTCAAAAAGCAAAATTTAGTGAAAACATGGTTAAAATCTCGTCATTGAGGACAATCTTTCTTTAATGTGAGCTTTACCCATGATCCATATCAGATACAGATACATTCAGGCCCGTAGGAAGCAATTTCAGTTTGGGGGGGGGGGGCACAGCCAAACATATTCAATTGAGGGGGCACTCTCAACTACCAAATTTTCCTTGACAAGCAAATAAAAAAAAAAAAAAAAGGGTCATCAGACGTTTTTATTGAGGGGGCACAAGCATATAACAGCTATGTTTTCTATAGTAATCTATATATCGGCAAAATTACGGCCATGTACATTGTATTGTATAATTTTCTGTATTTTTTTCACACTTAAACATGTTAATAGAAGTGAAATGAATGTTAATTACTAGATACTTACTCATTTTGTTTTGAAATTTTAAATTCCAATTCACATCCATGCAATTCCAATTTATCAAGATCTTCAGCTGCAGAACCCTGTGTTAACATGAAAAATGTGAAAATATGCAATCTGAAATATTTTTTTTTGGAGGGGGCAGAATTTTAACATAATTAACATTACATACCAAAAATTTAGGACTTGAACTACAGGTATAAACAAAAATTTACATGTCCGAAGATTTTTTACATACAGTTGTTCTGAAAGTGCTCAGTTGCTGAATGTAAAAGTACCTCAAAGTGTTGAGGGGATCTTTTTCCTTGTTGATGTGGTACTTTCAGATTTTTTAATCCTCCCAACAATCTGCAAAAGAAAATTATATACATTTTAACTTCCATCCTCACAGTGTCAAGGTTTTATGATTTCGGAACTCCACACGTTTGTGTGGAGTTCTGAAATCACAAAACCTTGACATTGTGAGGATGTTGAACTTCAGGATCACAAAAATCAATATTGGAAACACCTTCATGGATAAATCAATATCTCAAATACTTGGGATAATACGTTAAAAGAAGTTGGAAGTCCCAACCACTTTTTTCTTGAATTATTTTGCTCTTGATATCTTGAATACTCACATATTTCGGATTTTTTTTCTAATTCCCATTGATTTAGATATAAAAGGTTAAATTAATTAGGAAACAAAAAACATACTTTAAACAGATGATTTATCACTTCAATGCAGTAAAACATCATGCATGCAATCATTTCCACATGAATGAACACTGTACCTTTTCTCGGACAAATTCATAGCTGTTTTCACACTGTCATAATAAAGACCAATGGACTTATTCAGAATAAACCTGAAAAAGATATGGAAGGCTTATAAAACTACTTATGGAAGTTTAAACCTAGATACAGCTCATCTACCATTTCACAGTCAATGAAATTTCTGAAGTCAGAAGATAATACAACTAGCTTGGAATAATTAGACAAGAAATGAATTTAAAAGCATATAAAAAAAATTCAAAGAAGTAACTGATTAAAACTACATGTAATTACTGTTTTGAAGTTCCAATAATTTTGGCGACATTGTCAAACAACTCTTCGGACATTGGCTTCCAGTTTTCCATCTGGTCTTTTGTGAAAATGACTTTCCTCGTGTCTAAAATATATAAAGATATTTAGCATTAGGAAACAGAAAGTTTAGAAAGCCTTCTCTTTGCCATTATCATATCAGGAAATATATCAATTTTGTACATTGTATATTAGACCTGAGAAAATTTTTTGTTTACCATAACATGCTATTAAAAAATAGGGTCGGTATAAGTAGGATTCAATAGTAGCAGCTTATCCATCGAAACATATTCAAAACCATGAAAACATTTGCTCTCTGTACTGTTTAAAATCTGTCACCCAAAGATTATGCATTTAGATTAAATTAGTTAATAAAAAAAAGGAATTAAAAAAAACATTTACTGAAAACAGATGAATATATATTTTTTTAATTTTGGAGAACACACTATGGTTCAACAGTTCAATGAATATGATGAACCAAAGGTTAACTTTTTCACATGCTGAAGAAAAAAGTACAACAAAATACCTTAATTATGCTATTATGAATATCAAAATCAAGCTATATAGCTAAAAAAAAAAGAGATCAGATTGTGCAAGACCTATTCATGAAATAGATCGAATAGCATTGATCATGTTGATATACATTTTTACGGTTGATCACCACAAAATTTATATCTTTATACTGTATACGCGTTCCTAAATTTACAATTTAGCATTCATACCTTCTTCAGCAAACAGTAACCCATCTGTTCCATGGGTTCTATCTGTAATTTTGGTGCTCGATTGGTTTCTTCCTGACTGACCAAGGGAAGATTTTACCACGCCCAAGTTCTGAGATTTCCCCTCCTTCAAGTCTTTTGCTAGATTTTTAACTTTTTTCTTTTTACCCACTTTATTAGACTGAACACCTGACGGGAATAATTCTTTTCTTTTTTCGGATTTCTTTGTTATTTTTACTCTTGCCATTTTGAGTTCGAAGTAAACACTGGTAAAGTTCCTGCTAAAATGTTCTCGATCACTTCAAAAATAGAGTCATTTGACTCAAGATGAAAAATTGATTTTTAGCGATGGACAGAATATATCATACTAAGTTATAAAATTTCTATCGTGTGAAATCACTTAGTTCTTCAGTCAACCATCATTACCATGTTTTCAACTTCACACGTCAAAAACGAATTTACCGCGCTGTCTTAAACAACTCGTACGAATATTTATCTTAGAGTAAGTCGTGCATGTATATTTCATAATATGAATATATAATTATGCAGTTTGTGTTTGTTGTTTAACGTCCCTCTCTAGAGTTTTTCACTCATATGGAGGAGCCACCAGTTTGTAACACGTGTGTTTATTTTGAATACAGTATAGGCGTATCAGTAATTATGATAATGGAGATTGATTGTTTTGCTCATTTTGATTACAGGTGAATAGGTTGAATCCAATATTGTATTACTATCTGGATCGCGTCTCCGCCTCCAGGTGTGAATAACTAGGCCTAAAACGTCTGGATTGACCAGAATTGGGTCAATAAGGGTGTTCGATGAGTTTGAGATCCAAGTGGCTTCGCGGATAGTGTTTGTGAAATAGGGTGTGTTTTAGAGGATTTCGTTAACATTGTGTGTTCGAGGAATACATTGAGGTCTCAAAGACTCAAATATAAGAAGCCTTTTCAAACGACCACATCAGATTTTCCCAAAAGAATTTGTCATAGTTTGGTGGTTGTTGCAGAATTGTAGCTCTCTGGTTGAGAAAATTTGGACAGACAAACCACATGAACCAGGGAGCTACAGATTCAAGCATTGTAAAAACCTTCGAATTACGTCGCCCATTTTTTAAAAATATTTTTGTCGCTCGCTTCGACTATTATTTCTTGTATGCGTTTCCCCGCCAAACGCATGGTACCCTTTAATTTTATTAATATATTTTTACTGATAGTCTTGTTACTACGTATACGGTGGCTGCTATATAGGACATGGTATAATTTTTTTTATTAATTCGTGGCTAAAATAAAAATTCGTGGCCACGAAAATTAATTCGTTCCCTTGAAATTAAATTCGTTCCCACGAAATTAAATTTGTTCCCGCGAAATAATTTAATTTAATACAGTACAACATAATCAACTTGGTTGTTGTATTTTTAACCATTATGAGGGAGAGATGAATATTACTATCTTACTATGTACATTTCTAAGTTGTCATAAACTATTGCATTGAATAAATCTATATATTACATCATATAATTGGTCTAAAGATTTATATGTCATGGCAAACAGAAACCTTACGTTGTGTCTCACAAAACAATTTTTGATATTTCTTAAAATATGTTGATTTAAAATGACACTTTCTGCACCTGACTGCACAAAGTTTTTACTATTTATTCATGCAAACTAACTTTTCCCATCAGTAAATGCTATAATTTTAATTCAAGGAAGAATCTGTTATGGAGGCTGCAGATCTGTAGTGACACCAAGGTTTCTTAAAATCCTTCTTAAATGTCGACCAATGATACTATATATATGCTCTGATAGACTCTTTAAAATCTGATTGTGTGTCATTCCGAGTGGAAAAAAAGTAATTTATCAACACAAGCATCTTTGAACAGTTTAAATACGCTAAACCAACCTCCTCGAACGACAAGACGTATTACTGAATTACAATATCAATGCGTCACATACTTATGCAACTTTCATTTCGTGGAAACGAATTTTTATTTCGTGGAAACGAATTAAAAAAAATAAAATCTCAAGCATATGTTCTATAGCAGCCATCGTATGTTACAACGGTTCCAAACATTACAATATAGCCTTGGAATGTTAGTTTTAAAAATTCGCATTCTGACGTCCACGTGAATATAAATTAATTATTAACAGTGCTGTGTCGAAAATAGTGAGCGAAAAACTCTATGGGAAATGTTAGTATTAAATGTGAGAATTCGCTCTACAAATTAATTTAGCTCACTTGAGCTGAAAGTTCAAGTGAGCTTTTCTGACCGAAAAGTACCCGGCGTCCGTCTATCTGTTCGTCTATAGATCTGTCGTGCATGCGTCTTAAACTTTTCACGTTTTTCGACTTCTTCTCCAGAAACACTGGACCACTTTCAAACAAACTTTCCACAAAGCATCCTTTGTTAAAGACGATTCATTCAATTTTGTTCAAATCATGGCCGTCGGGGTTAGGATTGGCCTGAAATAGGGGATAAAAGTTTTACATAGAAATATCCAGGAAAAATCTTCAAAAACCTTCTCAACAATTTAACAGCACGGTCATGATTAGTCATATATACAGGCAAACATCCTCAGGTTGTGTAGATCCAAATCTGCTCAAATCATGACCCGGGGGGGGGGGGGGGATAGGTTGGGCAACAATAGGTAATCAAATTTTTACACGGTAATATATTATAGGAAAAAAATCTTCAAAAATTTTGTCATGAACAGCTGGTTTAATATCAGATACATTTAAAAAAAAAATGCAAGCATTTTCAGGTAGTGCATTCAAATTAAATCAAATGATGGTCCCTGGTGGTAGGATATGGGGCCACAATCAAAGATTAAAATATTACGTGGAAATATATACAAAGAATATATATATATATATATATATATATATATATATATATATATATATATATATATATATATATATATATATATATATATATATATATATATATATATATATATAAGTACATGTACACAACTGACAAATTCAAAACTTCACACCATCATGTTTATTAGTCCTTTTTTTAAATACAAATTTCCTTTCTTTATCTCTAGATCTGAAAGATTGATTAAGATGAAAGATATGTTACATAAGAAAAAAACAACCATATACTAGATTCCTTCAAAAAATGTTATGAATCATGGATATGATGAATAAAAATAATATTACGATAATTCATGAATATTGTGAAATAAAATTTCTTTGAATAGGAAATATGTTTAAATAATCAACAACATTTCAGTTTGACTTAATGCTTCAAAATAAGCATTAAATGTACCCTTTGTTTATCGTAAGAATATGAAAATTAATGAAATAATTTCAAGCATGTTTTCTATTGCTACAATAAGCATCAAAACGATGCTTTTGTTTTCTTTTACTATACATGTAGCAAGCATGTGAAAAGGGACATAGATTTGTACATTACAATAAAATGCTCATACCTTACTTGAATTCCAGTTCCAAATAATAAAATCTTAACCAGAAAAAAATTCTTACCGAAAAAATATAAACCCGTTCTAAACAGGGAAAACAATTAGCAAAAAAGATAAGCAAAAAGCAAAAAAGAAAGAAAACTAGCATTTTTTCTAATTCTAACAAACAAAAACAAAACTAACCCGTTTCTTAAAAAAAATGATATCTACTCAATTTCATCACAAAATTTTCAAAACCCTCCAAAAATTAATTACCATTCTAAAGATGTTATATAAGTAATCAAAATTTTAAGAAAAAGAAGAAACTATTTTTAGATCTAACTAAACAAAACCAAACTAATGGCAATGTTCAACAATGAAAATAGTTACAATTCTAGGAAAAAAGTTATCCTCATTCTGAATTTTTTTTTTAAATGAAAAAAAAAACCAAAAAAAAAAAACAAAAAAACAAAAACCAAAACAAACCCAATTCTAGACTAATCAATATCAAAACACAAATATACACGTATCTCTGGTTGTTGAACTTTTTAAAAAAAAAAAAAAATCTATCTATAATCAATGTAATTCTGCGTTTTCTTGCTTTTCCCTTTTTTTCTTACAAAAATTATCATCCTTTAACAGTTCTTTATAATAGATAGCAACCAATGCTACATAGGTACATTTATTTTCACATGTACTTGTATTTACTTCACAAACTGTGTACATAGATATTTTGGGGTTAAATAAACGACAATAAATGTGTATCTAGAGGTCTTACATGTCCAAGCATCTTAATTTTAATCAAACAGTTCCTCAGGATAGACGAATGTATTACAGGAAAGCTGAGAAAAATTTGATTAATTTTATGTAAAATAATCCTAAAAATAAAATGTCGAATGAAAATGAAAGATAATGTGGTATTTACTTTTTTCCGTGTGTGCATATATACAAGTATACACTATACAATGATCAGAATACCCTTTTAAGTAAATTACCCCATGCAGATACTGGGAACAGTTTTTAACTACGTAACTCATAAAATCTTTGTGCAGTTTCTGAGTGATGGCCTAAGGAGACTGATCAGAAGATTAACTCCAAAAAACTAGCCACCTTTTTTTTTCTTGAAAACTGTTTCCATTTAAGAAAAAAATGTAACCCTGAGCAAAATTGAAGAAAGAGCAATCCCAAATCTAGACAATAATATTAATCTAATTGTATTCTAAAAAAAAATTCAACCAATTTTCACTATATATATATATATATATATATATATATATATATATATATATATATATATATATATATATATATATATATATATATATATATATATATATATTAATATAGCGTCCGAAATTTTCATCCAGTATTTAAAATAAAGCAACATCTCAAAGAAAGCCACTCACACTCTATATTTCAACGAACTAGAGCAGTATCGCAACCTTATTTTGAAATTGTACAATCTCTTCATATAGAAGTCTGAAATTACGACAAACCTATACTTTTTGACAGTTCATCTCTGAAAGATTTACTTTGAGTAGCATAGATAAAAATTTCGATTGGTTTGCTAATAGCAAATATAAAGTAGATATATATCAAAAAAAGGAATACCGAAGAATAAGAGTGTATGTTGTTGATAAAATCCGATGATAAATAAAGATACAACCTCAGAATAACAATTGGAATTTCTTGCACAAGAAAAGAAGTTCCTAACAGGAAATTGACTTTTAGTAGGCGTAGATATTTGACTTTACTAGTCTTCTGACCCTTCATTAATATGTCTAGAGTATTTATTTGTTTCTTCATAACAACATATAGGGCAATAATACCGCTACTATTGATAATAATGGGCATAAAACTGAAATATATCACGTTGCTTAAAAAACCAAGAAAATCGGTGTTGAAGAAAACATCCCATGTGTCGTCTCCTGAGAAATCGGCTTTGCATGCATCGATGACTTTTAAAGGATGCCTCCGC